GAATCAATGTAACACAATTAGAAGTAGGTAGACCACGCAAGTATACTCCATCATACTTATTCTCAATATAATCAAATGGAATCCATTCCAAATAGGCTTGATTTGCTGAGGTTGTTCGTAATTGAGATTCCTTAATAAACCCATCGAGTTGCTTATTGTTGCTAGTCCATCCTTCAGACAGTTGTTTATATCCACATATGCACCACACAGGACTACATCGGAGTATTCCGCAGGCGGAGCAGAATCCATAGAGAGAATAATAATCGTAAAAGTGTCTTTTAGCAACCATGTAGTAGTTACCGTCGTATTTAGTAAATCCATGTATTTGTTTGTTGCGATATTCAAGCCATTCTTTGTATCTTCTGAGATTAACGTCATTGTTGTACCGGCATGTCGGAAGCGAGTATATTCTAGCAAACTCACTCACTAGTGTTGGTGTACATGTTTCGTCGCTCCCAAGAAATACCAACATTATCGTTTCCTCACGAAACCAGCTACATTTGCGACTAGCGTAATAGATAGCGTCTGTTGGAGTTGATTTAATATCAGTGATTCCAGAACAAGAAATCCATTCAAGTCTTGCGCAATGTTGACCTTCCAAGTAAGATTGAATTAAGTTGTCAATTGCCTCTGACATTGTTCTGAGCAAAAAATTTTGATGCAGTTCGAGTTTTGCATCATTTTCTCGGTGTGCCGATCAAATTTTACATAATAAATTTGAAAGCCGAAATGTCAACACAAGTTAAGCTATACAAATGACTTTATTATTTCTGCTAATGAAACCAAAATTAACTTAGCTTGTAAATATATCCGACTATACTGACGACGTTACATCACAGACAGCTTATAAGTTAATTTCAATAATGGTGAATTCTTCATTTTCTTTCTACTCTTTATATCGGTCATCATACTACGTCGCAAGTTTACGGCATTGAGTTCATTACGCATATGCGACATTATTCCTACAAATTCCTCGGTGCTAATCGGTACTGATTCCTCTAGCTCTCATTGATTCAACGTTTTCAATATCAAAAAAGGATATTATTGATATAAGGTTAGCTGTGCCACCGCTGCTTTAACCATATAAGGAATCGATTCTGAAGAAATGAAGGACCATCTGTTGGGTCAAGGATTATAGTATAACGTATTGTTAATAAACTAGCGAACAAGGCTTAATTATTAACGAAAAACGTGGGCAACACTATCCATAAAAACATCAAGAACGCGCCGTCGTATTTCCCCTGTAAATACTCAATTGTTCTATTTTTTATTAATTTAGTATTTATTGTTACGTTCTATTGTAACCGTTAGCATCGTTTGCTTATTACTATACTTTTAGGAAGAGAAAAAGTAGAAGGTGAAGAAGAGACCGATGCCAAATGTCATTGCTTGTTGTACGAAATGCACCGGCTACAATGGTAGTCCGAACTTCATACTGAGCTATGGCTCACGTCAAATAGACAACATTGCAACACAGCAACACACAGCCAATCTCAGCCTAAGGTTTTCAGTTAGCAAAATGTACTTGACTTGGTGTTCTTAAGAAAGGTGGCTTTATTTTTGAATAATATTAATTAATATTGATGATTTATTGTAAAGTTTGATCGCCAGCCAATCACGTTTAGAGAATCTTGTTGTTTATTGTGAAAATGATCAAGCTATTTGAGTAAACAAATACAGCCGTTACAACAAATATTGATTAAAACGCCGAAACACAAAGTTGTTAATACTATTTGCATTGCATGAGTATTACTTTCGTCCATTCATCTGTGCTATATGTGTGCGATAATGTGTATTTGTCAATAAGAATAGTCTATCCACTTCTTCAGATTACATCCATGAATCCAAAGACTTGTTGCTGCTCGTCCAATCAAGAGGCCTGGCACTTTACAGAAAGTGTCTTTTCTAGAATAAAATATTCTTGCATAATCCAATTTCATATCATGTTCTTTTATTAGATAATACTTTCTGTCATGGCGATCCACACATAACTATAATAACAATTCAACAAACGTTATATATTTAATTTACCTTGTCATAAGAATAATGCCATCTTCAATTTTGCTTAAGTGACTAAATAAAGACCTCGAAACCTCTTAATAACGTCATCGAGTTGTTTGTGATGCTACGCTATAAACGGTGACGTATTCTCTCCTAAATTTCTGCATTACCGCGCATAGTACAAGTAGTGTCACGGCAGTAAGACAGCAGTAAGACAGCAGTGATACGACAGTGATGTAGCAGCACTGTAGCAGCGCTGCCAAAGTCAAAGACGTATACTGAGAATAATCGATAGAAATTAGAAATAGCTAAAAATAGATCAACTAGTCCGCTCGAAAGATGTCCTAATTACTCTCGATTCCTTTATTGTAAATAAATGAGTAGTTTTTTATACTCAGAAATACATTGTTAATGATTCATTCCCTGGTAACTTATCGGTATAGCTGAGAAATCGCTAATCCCTATAATAATCGCCTCTTGTCCCGCGATTATTCGAGTGGCAAATTACGATAATTAATGGTTATGTAGATGCGCATTATTATAATTAAATATAAGAATTAAGGAGCCGACAGAGTTACTCGAGTACAATTAATATATCCAGGATTAGCGTCACTCTACGACGGGAAGGTTTTCGTGAGTGCAAAGCCTTGATTGGACAAGGTCACTAACTGTAACCCGAGATTTACCTAGAGAAGGAGATGTCGAAACCAGCTAAATTCCTTGTGTCGATTATTACCTGCTCTCCCGTGATAGTCGGCACGACACTAGTCTACCTACCACACGGGACTGCATCGGAGTATTCCACATGCAGTGCAGAATCTGTAGATGTCTATCAGTCACCATGTAATAGTTATTGTACTTGATAAATCAATGTAGAATGTAGAATGTCTTCTAATTGACTGACATCATTATTGTGCTCCTTTGTTGAGAGAAAGAATCATCTTATGACGGTAACATTCGAGTAAAAAACCGCTCAAGGTAAGTTGAATAACTGATCTTCAACAATTATATGTGTTACACCGCACATTACAATGCATCATCAGTTAAGTAGAAACTCGCATAATTCTATACAATCAAACCCTTGTGTTATTATGTGAGCTGCAATTACAATTCTGAATAAAGTTTAGTTGACACAATAAAAATATTGATTTAACAAAGTAGCATTGTTTCTTGCGTTACGTGAGAAACAATTGTAAACACACAGAAATTCAAAAGTTTATAAGTTAATTGGTCCTAACAGACAGTAATACAGTATCATTTGTGGTCGAATATTTGATTGCTCTCATTCTCAGTAATAAAATGGAATCACTAATTTGGTATGTGCAACTGTGTATGTCACAATAACATCTACTTGGAATGGTGTCTGAATGAGGACATGATTAAACTTCTCGTCATATGTAACATCTGTGGTCACGACAAAATATTTGGGCAAGACGATCCGATTGTCGTTAAATGACCGACACATGATCTGCAGATGGCGATGTAAACTTGATCTCGTGAGTGAGCGAGCAGGAATACTGGATTCACCGTTAGCGGGATAATTTCAAGACCCTTTTATTTGCATGGCCACGGAAAACAAGACAATATTAATCTGTTTATGTGACACAACTAGGATTTTGGTGTAGGGGCAACCCGATTTAAAAAACACAAGTATGATGAGCTCATATGTAGCACAAAGGCATGAGCCAAGAATCAAATGGAAAATATGAAGCGTTATAGGGGCTGATTGATGAATTAAGCTAGTCTGTGAAGCAAGCCAATTTTAGATAGCATTGTAGAACGTCGAATGATATTAATATGTGATTAGCGTGTATAAATAGATTGACATTCTATTGGTTGAACCATGTGATTAAAATAATCGCATATTGTGCGAGTAATATTGTTCAATCATGAAACTTGAAACTAGGCATCTTTTGACAGGTTACTACAGGAATATCAAATTGTTCGTTGTAGAATTTGCGTTGCTGCAAATAGTACCACATCAATTTAACAGTATTACGTAACGCCTAATCACGTAAAGCACATTAGAAAGTGTTACCGTATGGGACTTCCTCGAAGCCTGTAAAGTAAAATAAAACATTTATGTGTGTCAAAATATTATTTCAGGCTAGTTTCATCGCAGGAATACGTAGTTCTATATTTGGAAGGTTTATTGCCCTTAGATAATTGCCGTTTAACAGATTGTGTGACAGAAAGATTTTAATTCATCATTGCGTAATACCGCATTGCGAATATTGGAGGTTAAAGGCTTACTCGTGGGACCCGGGTCTGCCATCATCCCATCCCTAAATGCGTAAATTATGATGCGGTAGATAATAGAAACATCATTTATGTAATCAAGTACTTGGCTCACGTGGCTCGTTTCCTGAATAATCCATCTTCTGTAGTGTGGGAATGTCATAGCATGTAGGATATATAGAATGATTATCAATATCTGATCCATCAATAAATGCAGAAACCGTTATCGAGAGCGTGAGAATGAGAACGCTCACTCGGTTGGTCAACTCGACTAGAGCGAGTTTGTATTTCTAGACAATGTAGAACGTATTCCTTTGTTAACATGGAAGCATTCTGCGAGCATCAGATCACAATCCTTGTTAATGGCCGTTTGAGGGTGAGAGACTGCTTTTGCATCAGTGACGATAGCAAAAAGAAGGAAGCGCGAACAATTCGCATATTGGGCATTCTCTACATGCAAGCTCTGAATTATTTTAGCTCCCATCATTTTTTCACGTGTACTACACTCGGCGGTTACAAAACCGAAGGTCACAGAGAGGGCTGTGGCAATAAATGTGGCACTAATCCGGGTTTAACAATTTGCGTAGCATTAACCAAGATTTCATTGGTCCTGTTCATATCACCTTGTGAGCAGTATTCTAGATCGCACAAAACGTATCACAGAGGGTAAATAGAGTATATTTCATCAAGAGTCTAGGAACAACAGCTCCATAAGCTTAAAAATAACCTTTTTGTTCTTGCTTTTTCACAAAACCTTAGAAATGGCGCAACTCGAAGACCTAGCGCAAGGTAAGTTGTATTCTGCATAAATCTAAAGGGTTTTGCAATGCTTTTGAAGAATCCTTTAGATCATGGATAGCATTGTATTTACACACACAACTTTAAAATATAAAGCCAGACGACTGGAATACTATAGAAATCGGCAGGAGGCCGCTAAGGGTTTCGACGACGACCTCGAATTTTGTCCTTCTTTATCGGCAGAGGAGGTATGTTAACATACACAAAACCAGACTATTGCTTCAATTTAGTCCACTCATTATAACGTCTTCCTTTTGACATCTATGCCTCCTAGTTGGCAGAAATACGACGCCAAGTTTCTCAGCTAGTCTCACAGGGATGTGTGAAAACCAGCATTACTCCTCCACAACCAAAACACGTCATTCCAATTATTGACCCGACAAACAAAACTCCTCTCAATATCAATCCCATAAAGTCAACGGTTACCACTCCTTCGACAGTCGCATCGGTTTTAGCATCGCCTTTTTTCACTAGGCCTGGTTCTCCGCTTTCTTACAATGGTTACTCGCCAACCTTAGCGTACCATTCCCTGGCTGCTTCGGGAGAGATGACAATGACCCCGAAAGTAACAAAATCAATACCAATCGTTGACCCTAATAGCGGCAATATTGTGAATATGCCTTCTAACGGCGGCTCGAACAATAATAGTGGTAACGGGTCTGCTTTTGGAGGATTCTACAGTGATATTTCTGTGCGATGAGACCAAACAAGAAGATTCCTGTTTCCAACAAAGCCTGTAATCAACTACATTCTTTTCATTACAAATTATAGACAAGTCATTTCTGCATTTTTTCTTTTCTCCCCCGTCATTTTTTTAGTATAACGTTTCAGCATCGACATACTCTTTCTTTATTCGCAAATATCATTTCTTATTGTAATCATTTATTAGTGTATTAAAGCTCTGTATAGGACACCACATCAATAGGTGATGCTATGTTGTCATTGTAATAAACTCTTGGCATTTATATACATAATTTTATTCAATGTCCTAGAGACTAGGCGTTAAATTCAATGAATCTTGAAGTTGCAAAGGCCATGCAGTTACTCTTCGTCCCGATCACTCATATGTGGGAGTCTGGTAAGGATAAGAAAAAATGTATTTCTATCATGTTCCTAACAGAATTTGTCAGTAGATGGAAGATGGAAGAATCAGATAACAAAGATAGTTAGCCCGTTCTTTCACATGATCGAGCAATGCCACAAGGGTTCTTGAAAGTCGATTGATCGCAAAAATTGATTACTATGGAAAGGGAATTCGGTGCCAGGCTATAATATAATATTAATGTCGACATCAAACATATCAAAAAGCGAGACCTCAAATGTTGGGGCATGCTGAACGTATTCTCACGCCCTGGTGGTTCGCATACTGTATGTGGTTGATGTAATCAATAAAGGTAAATTGCATTGTCGTTATTGTCGTTGTCTTTGTTTGTCGTTGTTTGTCGCTGTCGTTGTCGTTGTTGTTATACTAATACGTTATTATTCTCGATCGTTATGTATATTTCATTTGACCGTATATGGCTAATTTCATTCTGAAAGAAAAGACTCCACGATAAATGATGTAATGCCCCATTACCGCATTGTACCATGACCCCCAAAATATAAAAGACATTATATGGTAAACATGTGACTTTCCCAGATCATATACGTTTTGGGGGGGTAAATATCGCATTTTATTCTTTCATCGAGAGTTTGATCGTTGTACGAGCGATCTTCGATGAACATACTTAAATAATATGCAGTCGCTAATATTGTGTTGTTGTATATTCACAAATGATTTGCCAATGAAACTGAAAAGCAAAGACATGCCCCTAAACAGAAATAATAATAAAGACAGAACAATTAGATTGGATAAAAGATTTGATAGCTTTACCCTCGTTTTTTTCCCATTCATGCAGTAATGCTAAGAACAAAGAAAGAGAGATAATACAGTATGAAGTTAGAGTAAACGAGCTAATCCAAAACAAACCATTAATTCAGTTTCGGAACAAAATAGTCACTATTGTATGTAACTTGAATGGCGGATGAAATTCCGATTTTATGATTATTGAAATCAAACACTTGAAACTTCAAATAACAATTTATGTGGTTGTCTCGACTAGTAAAGACGGTAACATGTGCAATATGGGTGTGTCTAATAAAGAACGCGGATAATCTATGATATATAGATTACAAAGATAGCAGAACACTTGGGCGGATAGCAAGCTTTTAATACCAAGTAAGGCTTTGGTTTTCTCACTAGAAAAAAAGGTATGATTTTTGGAGAACATCAGCATTGGCTTGGCACGCGTCCAGGAGTCGTTGCGTTTTATGCAGACTCTTCAACCATAAGATTGGTGGATCAGTCAATAACTCAAGTGCGATCGTCGATATTGGCCTATACAATAACAAGTGACTAAATAAAAGAAAATATGACGAAAGTTTATTATATCATTAGAAATAACGTGTTTCAGACTATAAACAGTTCCTTGGTCAAGTGGTTTGAGTTGACGTGTGGCTGAGGGATAGAAGCGAACAAGCAAAACGTGAGACAAATTGTTTTCTTCAAGATACAATAACTCGCAAATATAAATCATTACATTTATTATGAAAATAACATACATGAGGAGTATTTTTATCAATTCCGCGCAATGCTCGTAGATTATTATGGTATTATAAAACGATAAAGGTGATTCTCTTCTCCAGTTGTGATCCTACTTCTTGAATTAATCGTCTGACTGTTCGTATTAAGACAACCGGATGGCAACATGTCTACTCTAACCCAGATCTATAAGCGTTGAAAACTTTCACTTTCAGATTATCTACGTTTATTTTTGTGCAATGCATTGTTGGATGTTCAGAAATAATACAGTCTAAATATATCTTTGCTATAAAACAGAGTAGAAAAATGTATGAATAGTTAAACTAAGACTACATATGCTTGAACTTCTATACATTTCAAGCAAAAATATTATCCCTAACCAGCATTTCATTTCCGTTAGGGTTGTCATTCTCGAGCCGTTCAATCGGTTCTATATTGTGTAACCGCCTTCCTATCAAGTATTGCTCGTCTCGAACTGATTGCATCCAATTTTTGATTAATAGCACAGTCTGGCGCTGCACACGGATGCCCAGCACGACAGCAAGACATGTTGGATATGCGAGACGGAGTATAAGATTCTGTCTTTCCGGAGAATTTATACCTGATAATAAATTATTTTAGTTGGCGAGTCGTACATTACTGGTAATGTTCCAAATATATTTAACTTACCCAATACAACATTTACAAATCGAGCAGTTAACATGGGCATGAAGATGGCTAACGCAGATACGAACAATCCGGGTATGAAAAACACCGTATTTGCAACTTTAATGTCAAGTTCCCTAATACCATCCTCAAATATCTACAATGATATATAAACTTTGTAAGCATCGAATTTGTTTCTACGAAGTATATCACAATATTAACTTGAACACGGTACCTCAATTATTGCTCTACTAAACCTATTATCATTCACCATGAAAATAAGCTTGTGTGATATTTTCATATAGACTATTCCCAAAGCCCAATTCTAAAATCAATAAAGAAAATGTTAGTTGAAGGGCTAATCATTGTTACTGCACAACGTAAGCCGTGACTCATACCTCGAAAAACAGAATGGTCCATGGATCAACAGTTGCTCTTCTCCACGGCATTATGAAATATAGATTGACAATCAGGGCAAACAGATAGGGCATAACAACGCCAAAGACGACAAATAGGTAAGCGACCTTCATAATTATAGTTATAATCTCTGCTGTCTTGGTTTTCAGGGCTCCAAAGTCGACTCTCCAGGACGGTCGCCTGTTTAACTGCTGACATTTCCTAAATATTCGTTCAAGTAGCCAAACTCCACACCATATTACGTGGAGACCCAGTGCAAATGTATATATGTCATGCGCTGGTTTAGAATAATGAATCACGTGTTCAAATATGAACCTTCCAGCAACCACTGTATTCGTGAGGAGTTATGTTTAGTACAATTAATTAGTGTGAGCGCCCATAAAAAATGTGATACTCACGAGGCAAAACCGTCACAGAGCTACAGAAGACTGCTCCACAGAACCACATTAAAAATAAGAACAAAATTATTCTGGTTTGGAAATTAGGTGGAACATACACAACAGTATGATGCAGCTGGTCATCTGGGGCATCATTGGAATCCAATAGTTCACCCTGCTCATTAACTGGTATTAACATTCTTCGTCCGGGGACACCAGGCACTCCATCAAAACTTGGAGCACGAACGAAGCCCCCATCCCTGACAAACACGACCTCGGCTTCATCGTTTGACAAGTAATTAATACTGTTGAATTCGGTACTTGACCTTGGCACCATTGCTTGAGTTCTCAGAAAGAAAGCACGCCAAGTCTTTCGTACGTGAGTCCCCTCTTCGTCAAGATGTCGTTCCCCGAACATGAATGAGGTTAATCGCAATTGACGTGCAGTTACATGCCACCAAACTGTAAATAGATGATGGAAGAGTTTTCTGGGCTCAGCAAGTGTGACTGTTATTGGCAGGACGGTATGGCATATCAAAAGGTCAAGAGGGAAGTCCGAAAGAGGATCACTATAAATAGAGAAAATCCTCGATATTAACGTATCATACTGTGGTGAAACACGTCAAGATATAAAATTATCATAATTACCTTAGCGGTAGATTGAGTGGTAGTATACCTTTGATAAAAGTGTGTATGGTATATATGACACTTCCCACACCAAATACAATCATTGCGCTGTACATTATCCCGCTTGTTCCGATTTTTTTCAACTGTGTCCATACTGGTCTTTCGAGTATTTCCTTAATAGGATGGAACTGTGGATCATTGGGGTCTCGAATGAACCACATGACTCCAGGACGTACGACCTCACGACAAAGCGAAACAAACACGGCAAAATGGAACATGAACGCGGTTCCAACGAACCAGTGAAGGAATATAGACGTAAGCGGTGATTCAAGATAAAAGTGAAAGCGAGTTCTTGGTGTAGCATCTCTGAATAAGGGTAATGTCGATAGATCCAGCAGTATACCACATATAATCGGAAACACCAATAATTCAATCAGGACAAAAAGAGCGACTTTTAATACAATCCCTTGCTGACGTAAAACCTCAGAGACTGCCCGTCCAACTGTTCGTCCATAGGCATTCCGCGTCCTCGAGAGATACCAAGCACATAGACATATAACAATGACATATCCAAGTGAAATACATGCAAACTTGTCGATAGGCTTACTACCCATTGCAACGTTGTTCCACTGGTCGATGAACTTTACAAACATTGTCAGATTGCGATCTTGTAGAAACTCGGAGATTGTACCATTAACGGGTGGTACAGGAACAGGTTTTCCTGTAGGTGGCGGCGCTATCTGTGCCGTAAATGATAATATATATAGAACCAATTTGACAGTCTTATCGGTTGCATCCTTCAGCGGTTCAAGCAAGGCGTACTCCTCTAATACGGGTATTAGTATAGGGTGAACTGCATTCCATCCAGACTGAATTACTGGTCCAATCATAGACCATATCCATGGCAACGTAACATCAATTACAAGGTCAACAAAAGGATCTGTAACCAAACGTAGTACTGAAAGAGGTAGCTCTATTAATTTGAACGGATTAACCTAATAATCAAAAAGTGAAAAGACCATTAGTATATTCTCTACCTTAACAAACCACAAAGCGAAGCCGTATACATTGCGGATTCTTACCAATAATACAGACTTTCCAACAATGTATGGTATCCATATTGCTCCAGCCAAACATAATGTTATTAGTACTGCCATAAGTGCTGAATTCTGAAACAACATCCATGGGGATCCCCTCATTCCAATAGCTTCTAAGACACCTTCAAGATCCTCATTAGCCGCGCGTTCATCATCTTCCTGTTCATCTTCAGCAAAAGGAAAATTAGGAACACCATTTCCGGGGGCATCAATAGCTTCATTGAATAAAGGAGCCGGAGGGATAGGCGCCTGAGGTCGTGGGAGAATGTCTTCAGCAACGATCAATGGTTCATTTGCTTCAACAGCGTTTATCTCTTGATTGTCAATCTCTTCGTCGTCTGTTGCATTTTCGTACGAGCTATCTTCATCCTCTAAACTGGTTTCATCATCTTCATTGTCCTCGTCATAATTCTCATCGTTTTCATCTCCAAAGTGTCTAACTACATGGTTTGTAACCAAATATAAAACGAATCTCTTATTACCCTATACATGCTCATGACATATACTATCGTATCGCACCATGGGAGAACAAATACCTTCACTGTGCGATATTCCGCTTCGAGTAGTTTCGGCATTCGACCCGTCATCGTCTGACGACGAGCTGCCGTCAAATGGTTCTCTATTATCAAGTTCCCATATACCTGGTCGAAGGACTTTTACATACATTGAACTATTAGTTCTACAAACATTAGACTTATCAACCATTATAAAAATTTGAGCCACATTACGTAGCATTGGTGCTTTGGAGAGATAGAACTAACCTGGAAAACGTGACTGTCCACTGCTAGCTAACTGTTCGGATCCATCAGCGTAATGTCCATATCTCTTTTGTGATAATACGCCTATGCTTTCTTTTGCCGGATCTTTTTCGTCAAGTTTAATTTGTTTGCCAAAACCTGTTGCCATGCTAGAGTCTGTTGCACTCTCTTGGTCAACTGTCAATCGATCAGGCATCTGGCTTTGATAAGATGCACTAGAGATATTTGATTGGGAGGACAGTGTATAATTATTTGCGGAAGAGTCGCCTTGTGCATCTTCATATATTGATTTTTTTTGATCGTCTGCGGTAGACACTTCATCCATGACAGCAGATACTGTCAACTTACCATCACGAGGGGATACATAGAGCGGTGAACGTTCCACACGTCCCGGGCGTGTGGAAGTAGAAGTATCGTCTCGTTCAGCTTGCATTAATTGTGTGTTGTCTTTCACGCTGCCTTGCGACATAGATGTAATAGTTTCATCACTAGATATCGGACTCTTATCAAATTTCTTATCGGAAGCAGAATTCGAGGAGGATAAATTGTTCTCTGTATTAATCGAATCGCTATCTATAAGAGACTCATTAACTTGTTGCATTCGCAAATGTCCTATTTCTTCTAATTCATGTTCTTGCTGTACATTGTCCGCATTAAATACACGATTGAATGCAGGTATCTGAGCCAATATATTTTCGCCACCAAAAGCGTCTTGCATATGGTCGATATCAGGAGCATCTACATCAGCAGCCGGAGGCACTTGTTGAGGATCATCGATGTTAAAAAATGGACCAACATCTCGGGCAGCTCCTACTTCTGCCTCAACGGGCATATCGATGTCCATGGCATCGTTATTTAACCCGTCTTCGGCTGGAGTATTTTGAAGTATCCATTCTCGTAAAAGAAATCCAGCCACGAATACTATTATCACAATGCATGCAACGATCTGTCCTTCAAACGTGTCCGCGATAAATTTGCTGAATTGTAAACTAACATTATACAGATTTCAATTATTTAAAATCAATATCCCATTATGAAAGCAATTTGTTGCCTAAATGGTATAACATATACCTTATAGACTCGCTATATTCTTCACTGAGAGTCCATCCCTTAGGGCCATAAGCCACCAAGCTCTTCACTATTGTTACATAGAACATCGCCAACACACTTTTCTCTTCCGCCATATTGCTAGGTAAATCTTCAACCGCATCTGGTACTTTCAATCCGTTTAGTTTGAAGGCCACATTTTCGCCACTCCAAAAAAAAAATCTCCAGATCCAGACTGTATAATATGGTAGTGCAATCAGCCAAACCGTCCCAACGAGCATTGCCCGGATCCATATTTTAACCAGATCATGGAGACGACGAAAACCGCGGCGAACAAAAAGCAAGAGCGGGATGTGCTCGGGCATTTTTGGATCGTAAACTATATCAATTAATAAAATAATATGTCAATCAAAAATGTAGAATGCAAAGAATAAAAAAATACCGCCTTCATCTGACTACAAAATCAGATACGCCGCTCAACCAAATAATGTCTGTGATGTTTGGCGAATGCATTTGATTTCAAGCAAAGAAATGATGTAAAAGTGTCATGCAAACGTGACGAACCAAACATTCTTGACTGAGCCCGCTAACGTCATTTTAACAGACGCGCAGTAACTACCAAATGGTCCACACATACGCGAGGCTTTCCCGACAAGTACACTTTAACCCATCGAATGCTGGATCTAATTTACAAGTTCTCATACAGCTATGGCTCACATTCCATAGTAATCACAATACAGAATCAAAATAATACATACTTGGGGTGAATGAAAATGGGTATTTGCAGACTTCACACGTTCTGTTTTGCGTGGTTGAAGACATTATAAAAAAAATGAGTACTCGATCGATGGACAATATTGGTAAACCTTGAAAAATGAATAGACAATAACTTTTTCTTGCTATGTCGTAGCCATTCGGTTAAGCTGCGATAAAAAAAATGTAAAATATAAATATGAATTCAGAACACTTTTTGAAGAGCCAATGCAAAAACACCAACCAGTCTTGGTGCACAAATCGAATACTCCCTGCACATTTGCAAGGATGATATAGTGGCTGTTCTTCAGTGCCTTCGCTACGGCACACACGACAGACATCTAAAGACAAAAAAATTGGATCAGTCAAAGTTAGTCTTTGATCTCAACGGACAGCTAGCATATTCTAAGCTCTACAGTTTCTGCAAGAACAGAAACGACCTGTTTATGACGTGAAGAAAGTTTGCATGAAAAATTAATCCTTCTTAGAATACTCGCCTCCTTCGTCGTCACCCAAAGTGTTCATAAGTGAGACACCAATCAAACGACGGAGACAAAGACTACTTGTCAGGTAGCTAAAAGTCTACAAAAGTGCAATCTCTCGATTCCAACGTTTATAATTATCGTAGCAACAACAACTGCGAGAACGTTGCAGACAGTGTGGTTGTGCTAATCGTAAGGGCAATAATTATTATAATTTCTTAAAAAGCAAATTATCCGAATCTTATGAATTTTGTGGCTACGCCCAATGTCGGGTCATTGCTGTTTTTGACGGTAAATGGCTGGAATTTTCCTGAAGAGGATCACGAAACTGTTTGTCACATAACATACTTACGTCATTCCCTAGCGCTACTGCCACATTCTATTACTATAGCCAACGAGAAGAAACTCTAGACACGATAGAGAATTGGTTTAACTGGAATGGATCAACTTAAACTCTGAGATGATCAGCTAATCTCGGCCACTGTTCTCAGAAGAGGCCCAGTTTAACGTTTTGGTGTACCATTACGAGTATGACGTCAAGTATGTTGAAATGCAACTAGCATGTTATCTTTGCAGATAAAACAACTGCATTGTCGGGCAAACTAACAGATTCGGGTATCCGATGGCATGTTTTTCATGCAAATATTTAAAGTCTTTTTATTTAGAACGCTCGTATTCTCCTTCACATGCAACTTTAGTGTAGCAGCGTCATTGGATACGTTATACTCGATTTCTAGTCTGAATGTTATAGTATGCAGAGTCGAAAACTCATCCACATAGCCCGGTGTTTAACTAGCCTGATGTGAGCCAAATAATGCAGTCTAGATGACTAATTTCTCATTATCACTCGTGCCAGGAATGAGGAACAACTCTGAATGGTTATCCTTTAAGATGAACGCAGCCAGAGAAGAATATGGGTTGCTGTTCTTGTACTATTTATTAATCACATGATTATCGCCGAGTGTCAGATAAGTTGAAACGAAGAATATTTAGAATAGATTTTAACTATAACAAGTCAATTTGACCATTTTTATTATATTAATACATTGTACCGTAAAAAATTTAAAATGGGTTGATAGTAATAATAACCATTTCAACTCTTTCCTTTGACGTCTTTTTTATTATAATTGTCCATTTTTATAACATTATACTAATATTAGCGATAATTTATTGTACATTAGTATTATAGATAGATAAATCGGCAGTAAACTCACCTTCCGTCTCAGATCGGCTTCCGGGACAGATCCTTCACAAGTAACTAAACAGCGCCCCATTGATTCGAGCACCCAGAAACCCCACCGGGGAAGCAAAAAGGGGAGAGAGAAGAAATGGAAAAAGAAAATGGAGTTGGTGTATGCCAGAAAATTAGCAACCTGCCATCTGCCAAATTACGTAACGATAAATATATTGATCAGCAGAAATCTTCGAATTCGGAAGGATATTAATATTAATATGGCTAGTTATTAATCATTATTATCTGAGATAAAGAATATAATGTCGAGAATTAAACCGAGACTAAAATGTAAAGAGCAAGAATTTGGTAACTGTGGCAATCGCGATTCGAAATCTTGTTTCTGATTGGTTGAAGTTTGTCACACGACGAGGTTATGAAAATCAAAAGAAAATCATATTCGGCACAAACTATGGCTTCAACTGCTGAAAACCCGGAAGTTCAAGAGTAAGAGTTAGTGGAAATGTGTTTCAACATGATAGCCGAAACTGCAACTTGATATATATTAGGTCTGCCAGTCAACCCTTGTCAAAGAAAGCTGCCAAGAAGGGGGAGAAGCAGCTAGAGAAAGAGCGTAGGAAAGCCGAAAGAGCTGCGCAGGAGGCTGCTGCGCGAGCTAGCCGTGAAGCAGCTGAGGTAGATATTAGTTATAATGAAGATACAGTGCGTTGATTACTTTGATAATTTACAAGATCAAGTGTCTTGTTTACTAGAACTATGGTACCGAAAACTATGGCAAGAAGCCTATGAACCAGTCTCAAGAACGAACCGGTGAGACTTTTATTGATTAAGCTGTGTTTGCGATCCTTGTGCAACTGACAACTCTCTGACATGTCCCGGTGTATTATGTAGGAGATAAAAGAACGCGCATCAATGAGATCAATAAGAGCCGGATAGGGGAAACTGTCACCATACGCGCTCGTGTTCAAACTTCTCGGGCAACGAGTACGTTATTAGTTATGATCATCAACTAATTCCCTGAGCGTATTAACAGCTAATATTCTATAGGTGCAAAACTCGCATTCTTCGTCTTTCGTCAGCAAAATAGTACAATCCAGGGCGTGCTGACTCTTGACAAACAAGTCGTCAGCAAGAATTTTGTAAAATTTGCGTCGAGGTATGATTTCATCATGAACTCGTCATTATAAAGCCATATTGCCCCAATCTAATGATGATCCGCTTGAACAGTGTGCCAGATGAATCAATTGTCGTTATCGAGGGGGTTGTGAATAAGCCAGTCGACGAGATTAAGAGTTGTACTGTTTCGGATGCCGAATTACAAATAAGAAAGGTACGTTTTTTTTTATTCGTAGTGTCTTGTGTAATGTGACATTTTTGTAATAACTGCATTTTTTGATATAGTTCTTCGTTATAAGCGAGGCGACCGAGCGACTTCCATTTTCTCTCGAAGACGCCTCGAGACCTGAGGCCGAGATATTGGTATTTATTTCTACAAGTATCGAGTAATATATCCTTTGACTTTTTTACTAACACCCTTTAAACTATAACTCATCAAGGCAGGAGAACACAGCCGTGTATTATTAGATACTCGATTAAACAATCGCGTTATCGACCTTCGAGTAAGTCACGAATACAGCGAGAAATCACGTGTCTATAAATATTTTACTACGCCACTTTGGTGTTTGCGATTGATGTTCGTTTCGCTAATTAACCGTTCTCTATCTTCTTTGTTAATCGATCAATGAGTAGACCGTAACAAATCAGGCGATATTTCGTATTCAATCCGGTGTATGTCAACTATTTCGGGAATTTTTGTTAAAGAAAAGCTTTATTGAAATCCATACACCAAAAATTATTAGTGCTGCCAGTGAAGGCGGTTCCAACGTGTTTTCCGTAAAGTATTTCAAGGGTAAGTGTATAGATTCAAACTTTTGATTGCTACTCGTTGCAGTAATATTTATCAGTTCAACATGATAGGTGAAGCTTATCTTGCGCAGTCACCGCAACTCTACAAGCAGATGTGCATATGTGCTGACTTTGAGCGAGTATTTGAGATTGCACCAGGTAATTTACAATTTTGTCTTAAAGATAGTCATGGTTTTTGTTGATGTTATTTTAATATTCATGTACTATGATTGAAGTCTTTCGAGCTGAAGACTCTAATACCCATCGTCACATGACGGAATTTGTGGGTCTTGATCTGGAAATGGCATTCGAGGAGCACTATCATGAGGTTCTGGACTTGCTTGGTGAGCTATTTGTTTTTATTTTTGACGGATTAAAGACTCGCTTTGCTGCGGAGATCGAAACGGTGAAGCGACAATACCCGTTTCCTGATTTTCAATACAATCCGACGGCAAGAAGATTGGAGTATAAAGACGCTGTGAAATTGTTGAGAGAAAACAACGTAGAAATAGGTGACTTTGAAGATTTAAGGTATGTTGGTATATTTTATACAAGGGCTTTGTGAATGTGTATAACAAGCAAGCATATTGAACTGCTCGGCTCTTTGCACCTGCAGCACTGAAAAGGAACGAACATTAGGAAAACTAGTGAAAGAAAAATACGGCACCGATTTTTACATACTCGATAAGTTTCCGTTGGCAGTCAGACCTTTTTATACGATGCCTGATCCTAAAGATTCGGTAGATATTTCATGTTCAACTTTCACTGTATCCTGTTATGATGATATTGATCTCACAGTAACTCTGCTATTCAATAGAACTATTCAAATTCATACGACTTCTTTATGCGTGGAGAAGAAATACTCTCTGGTGCCCAACGTATTCACGATGCGGCCTTTTTAGAGGAACGGGCGAAAATACACGATATTGATATACGAACATTGCAACCATACATTGATGCTTTCAAAAAGGGTGCACCGCCCCATGCTGGCGGTGGAATAGGTACGAATTGTTTATTGAAAATACATACTATTGTTTAATATCGTTACGTATCTAAATTCTCACATTCGAATTGATTTTTAACAGGATTGGAACGTGTTGTGATGTTGTATCTGAACCTTGGCAACATTCGTAGAACTTCCCTATTCCCGCGTGATCCGAAGCGTCTGGACCCATAAGTCAATTTACAAAGCAAAAAACCTTTGTAGGTCTTGGGTAATTTATTGAATAAACACAGTCTACCAATCTACTTAAATCACACACGATATAATAATGAATAAAAAACAATTGCCCAGTGGATGATTCGGGGTTATCCTCCAAATCCGTAAAGAGTACGGCCTTGTCTCTTTAATGCATAGACTATAGAGTAAAGAACGAAATGTTAATCTCTTATTCCAACTAGAATAATAGACTTGTCGAACAGAATAGTCTGAACAGGTTTCGTTGAACACCTGCATACACAGCTTAGCATTGACCTCATATACTTACCGACATCAAGCGAAGTTACCGTCTTTCTCTTAGCATGTTCGGTATATGTAACAGCATCACGTATGACGTTTTCTAAAAATACTTTCAAAACACCACGCGTTTCTTCATATATGAGTCCTGAAATACGCTTTACTCCACCACGTCGGGCCAACCGACGGATAGCAGGTTTGGTAATACCCTGAAAGTGCGAATGACCCAAGTTATTAATGTCTACAGAAACCGACAACTAGTACTGTGGGAAAAGAAGTATTACCTGGATGTTATCACGAAGAATTTTACGATGGCGTTTCGCTCCACCCTTTCCGAGACCCTTTCCTCCTTTGCCGCGGCCAGACATCTTTCACTTTTTTCTTCGAAAATGATTTTACTAGTTTTTAGAGAGTAAATAAACAAGAACAAACTTTGTTTCTCTTTTGCGTGGGGATGGACAGCTATCACGGGAATTATGTATCACCCGCACGCGATCACGTGTGAAGAGAATTATACAGGTGCTACTGTTTCTGGGTGACATACATATGATTTCTCTTTTTATATTTTACGCCTTTTTATTGATATATCGCCAATGAAAACGCTTAACAATAATGCATATGAGATAGAAATGCATTTATATATTTAGAAGTTTTTACCGCAGCGCCTAAATATTGCTAATATAGTATAATTAGTATTAGTAATCAATAATGCTTTGCATAATAGGGAATCATTTACAATCTGCCCGAGATTGTTTTAGATGGCTGGGTATTATCGCATATTGATATGCCACTCGGATGTTGCTGACAGGCCATTTTATCGCCAAAGTTATGATTATCACTTCATAGTGCCCAACAGATTTAAATAGATATCAAGTATTTTGTATTTGGTTGCACTACGCTCGTAACACTTTTGGTAAACTCTGGTCACAAATGCATGGTTTGATGTGCGTGTTACACGTCTTCCATGTTATTGGTTTCTTATCTTTCCCAATGTATTATTATTGTTTCCTTTACATACTTTGTCTATGAATAAAGTTTCAACCCGAAGTAACTTGCGCTTGATTCCGTTGTGGAAATCTCAAAACGGGCTACATACAAACTATTTATACAATCTTCCCTATACTTGCAGAAAACTTATCTGCTCCCCCTAATTTTGGGTCAAAGCATATTCCCGCTTTTTTTTAGCTAACCGTTGTGACAACACATTCTATACTTCTAACATTCGAAATGTAGTCAGAAAGACGTTTCTTGGCACTTTCATGGGCATGATGCATTGCCCAGACTTGAATTGGATACAATTATTAATTTCTTTGAGGAACAAAACTCAATGTCCCAAGTTGGATATCGTCAAAAACTTTTTTAATTAGTGACTAAATAGTTGTATGTTATACTTATTGATAGCATATAAATCTACTGGGTCCGATCGTAAATTGTCTTATATTGATAATTAATATTGATAGGATTGATTACCGTCTATTGTACAAGCAGTGGTCTGTCATATTAACGTTGCTGGAATTTCATCGAGGATTGTTCGTACAACTGGCAAAAGCTAGAAATTATCATTGAAATAAAACTCTATTCGAGAAGACACTAAAGACTATCAAAGAACGCTATGTGAGGTACAGTGGACTCTCCCCAAGTGCAGCACTGACGGACCATATTACTATGGCTAAATCAGACACGACCTGCATTTATAGAGAGTGAAATACTTGATGGTCTTGTAAGCTCGGGACATTTAGGGAGGGAAAATATAGTAATAGTGCCTGCAAGTGGATGTAGCACGAAGGAATTTGCAAAGTAAGTCGAAGCTGTACCCCAAAATCTTTGCCGATCAATCGTAATAAGCGATCGTGTCTGCACTTACGAGTCATAAGGCAGATATAATGAAGTAAGAAGGTTTGTCAATGATTCTTATAATGTTAGAACTTGCCCCAGACCGCCAGATAATTATTGGTGATAAAAAAAAATGGCTCAATTTCTTTGACCAGTACTTCTTCGGCCAAATCCTTTCAGGAAAGAGTTCCTATATAAGTTCTACTGCAGAATAGTTATGTTAAAATACATTCAATTGTAAAGTCGGGATGTACGTTAGTCGATTATCTGACTATTGATATTAATCCCATGGAAATGCTAGGTTATCCCTCATGCTTCACTGCGTTGCCAGCAAGTATATATTAACAGGCAAACTTGGGATAAGAAGCTAGAGTTGATACCATTCAGTACAGCCGAGTTTCTAATAGTTGCTTTTACATCTGGAGTTACAATAATAATTTTACACCAGATCAAAACTTATGTTTCTTGAAGAATAACCATATCAACGTATTACATTGCTGGACAAAAGCATTGATAAAATCCAATGTAACGATAATAAATAATTTTATATCTGTTTGTAGCTTAGGTTTTCGAGAATTTGCATGTAAATTTTGAAGCGTTCAGCTTTCTTGAACAATAATAATTAAACAAAAGGCAAATGTAATTAAAATCAATTTTGCCGATTTTTATACGCTCTGGAAGAAAGTATTTGATGTACCGTATTTCACGGACTAAAGTACCAGTGGTATTTACAAAACCCTGTTAGAGGTACTATACTAATGCGGGGTGGTACTTTGATCGGATAATGGCATTATACCAGGCTATGATATGACTATGTCTGAGGCATTGGGTTAGAGATGAAACGGAGGATAGATTGATATTTGATAGTGAGAGGTTATTATTGATGAAACTGATAAGGAAAATATTGTATTTGTAGAAATTGAGGGAGAATAAGTTAGAAATGTGTGATGATGTTAAGCAGATTCAATAAATTTGATGGTACTTTACAAGTATCTTGTGTATCAATCTGACTATAGCCCCATGGTACTTTGCAATTCCACGAGCTTCAAAATGGGAGGGGTACTTTAGTCCGTGAAATACGGTAATTTATTTAACTTTATGCAAAACAACAATATATAGTTTATTCTAGCTCCAGCGCGATAACACAGTTTCAGGCGCTTTGCATCGATATCTCTGCATAGCTCAAACTCAACAGTTGCATTCAAAAATTGCTTTCGTGGTTTACGCTCGCGTTCGGCGTCCGAGAGCTTTGTCTGTATTACAATATATGGAGAAGGTAAGGGCATTTAGTGTGAAAAACACAGTGGTCCAGCAAGAGCATTCTGGTAAACCTTATCTTTATCTGCCTTCCTTTTTTCATAAGCTCGATTGTTATAATGAGTGAGAGAAGGATGAACATCATGGATAAGGATAGATGGCAAACAATTTGCTATCGCAAACAGTTTACTCACTATATACACACTACTCAATGTCCCCAACGCCCGAGTCACAAAATCGTTACCTACCTGGCCGAGTTGTTACGATACGTAGTGCGTCTACCAACTTTTGTACTTCTTCCCTGGCTCTTTTTAGCAGAAAGCTCGTCCCACACCCGCTGCATGGCCGGAGTTCACTGATTTATTCCTTAACGTATCCAACAGCTTTCCCTATGCTATGCCCTCTTTAAACTCCTTCAGTGCTTTCTTAACTGCCTCGTTCAACTCTTGTCTAATTTTGTCAGCTGTTGCCATTTTTTTCCTGTGATGGGAAGTACGCGCTGCACGCATATACTAACATTGGGATCAGTGGCTTGAACAATCTATTGTTTTCCATTGTATGCAGAGTGCGACTAATGGTAACAGTAATCAATGCACAGAAATTCGCGTTTGCTGATTACGCATTAATGACGTTTAGAATATCGTGACTCTAAAAGAATTTTTCTCCGCAACATTTGCGAATACAAGGTTTGCTATAAAAACGACAGAAATAGAACCATTTTACAAAAAAGTTTGCAAACTGTTTTTACAAAAATCTATTACTATTCAACAGACTTTATTGTTTTATTTACAAGCGAATTATTGATCAGAATTCTCCTTGGATCTTCCCTTTATTATAAAATTCACAAAAATCAGCTGCATATTATAACTCAGCCAACATGATTTTCCACCCGATATCGAAAACTTGTTTAAAATGTTATTTACCAAAAGGCTCGAGTTGATTTTGAAACAATTAATTTGCCTATCAAACAGATGCAAATAAAAAACGAAATATATCACTCTTTGAAAATGTGGACCGGACAGCTCTTTAATGGTTTGTTCCAGTTCTTTATTGCAACAACAACATGCCTGCAATAGTTATCAAGTCTCAATCAAACATTACCCACAGTTTCATACTGACTCTTGCTAGCTGAATTTTAATACGATTAACTGCTCCTACTACTACGAGATGAAAAAATTTATGCATATCAACTGGAGAAATAATATTATTAATTTTTGTTGGTTTAATTGTTGTGCTTAAAGGTAGAAATGCAACGGGAGAGTTAATTATTAATTGACATGATGAAAATAAAATGAGGGGTAAGACCAGTGACATTTAGCAGTTTTGAGTCCTGAAACCATTCTGTTCACTTTGTTCTGACTGAGTTTTGGGCTGAGATGGTCCTGAGCTGAGGTACAACAACCTACTAATACCAGCGCATCCCAACGATATTCCATTCCACTGTAACAATAATAAAATTTTTTATATGCTGCAAACGGCTTAGTCGCATCAAATAATTTTTAATGACTTTAAAGCATAAAAGGTTTTATTTTCTTATATCAACATTAAAGAAAATCGCACCATTTAATAGCTCTCGACATGTTTGTAATGCAACGTATTTAATTCACTTTTTTACAAACCTTTATTGTAGGGAGATTTTCATTTTAATATTAATATCAGGATTCTCAACACCGCTCGAATCATATGCAATACAGTTGAACACAGTTGGGACAGCCATGTTTGTTCTATCACGGAGGTGTTCTCTTATAGAGCTTATTCATTTACTAATAAGTCAGAGTCGTCTATGATAAAATGTTCTTTATGAGAGACTGTTCCTTTATAGAGGGTTCTTTTATGAAGGTTTTACTACGATTAAACAATCAATTTAACATATTCCGTGTCAGTATACATATGCAGTTAGGCGAATGTATCGGAAATTGGTCACACGAATGACGATAAATTCGTCACAATGACTAATGTGATCTCGTCATACTTTATAATCCAGGTCTTTAAAAGAGCTTTAAGTGAAATAGAGATGCAAATTTATGGGTTGATTGTTAAATCGTATATTAATAAAGCTCGCTTCCTGGCGTTACTACTGAAACTTCTTCGCATAGGGTGTAAATATCTATTTTCGATCACTGCTGGAATAAGTATCATAAACAGAGAATGATTTTTTACTTGTTGACTTTGTCATTTCGCACTAGTTCAGCAGCAGAAACATACATCATTCAGTAATATTACCGCTTATCACTTCGTCCCTATAACGGAGGCTGAGGTTCTTCCGTTAAATCGAGAGATCTGCTAAATCGAGTTTCCACAATATACCGGACCGGACACCAACCAAGTAATTTGTAACTATTGAAAAATTATGCAATGGGGAAAAAATGTTTCGCTGATATATTTCATGAGAAACAGAGAAAATGATGTTTTAGTACTTTATGATTAGTATCTGTTGTAGGTTATATCGATAGATTACTAACAAAAATGCAAGACAATTTTATTAGTGTCGGATTGGTTCCATGAAAAATCTCCCAGTGTCCGTTATATCGAATGAACTTGTATATTCAAATCCCCTATATCCCAACATATGACATATCTCAGCTTGGTATAACTAACGAGAGTTGAGGCTTGGGCAAAAGTGCAACTGCCATCTTGCACGCAGTCTACAAAGGCATTCAACATAACGAAGGCTTTTAAGAGCAAACTATCCAAGTTCTTATTGAATGCCTTCAAATTGAATAGTATATGAATATCGCAATAATATACTTGGAGTACTGAAAGAATGTCGTGCACTGGTTCACGTTTTTCGCACCTCAACTATTGCCCAGAGTTGACATAATCAGATGCTAAAAGTTAACTCAACCTGCATATTAGCGCCCGTTGACTTTAGACGGACCTAATGAAGTTTATCTCAGAAGTTTCAAAGCAAGTGTACTCAGTGTAGTCTTCGACCGATCCGCAGAAATCTCGAGCATTTTGTTTGATAAAATGAAGGCTTTGTTAAAGAGCTGCTCAGAGAAATCAGGTGGAACGGAAGACTTATTAGCTGGCATTTCGGGAGGTTGCTCGGGAGCGGGAGGATTGACTTAGAAAGAGAGATCAATGGGGTTATACTTTCTGTTTCCCCTGTTCCAATTTTATCATATGATGAGTATTATGCGCAGTATGCGCAGTCTTTATTGTATCATGTATAATATCTGTAACAAAGGTGGTTTTTTTTTCTTCATATTGTGACAACGTATTCATTGTAATTGTTATTTACAGCATATTTGCGTACGATTAGATTACATTGCAGCGTACGTGTATACGCTCAATTGTTTCAAAGCTCGTCAAGAATTGTTGACATTCTAATCCTATTTTTGGTGATATTCTTCTCTTATGATTAGCAAAATAATTAATAATTTCTACTTCTGAACAATATCTACCAGAGAATGTCAACTTCTAACAAAGCCCTCTGTATTGATGCGGTCCGTTCCAATGAGACGCTTCCGTCATAACCATTTGTTGTATTAAACTGGCCATCATCGGAAGTATTACCCAGGGTCAAACTGAACGCCAACTTCCATCGATGTATTAATACAGTCGCATTTATAATTGCTTCCGGAACTGCGAGAAAGTCATTGTTTTTTTTATGAGCCAAATTCGTTAGTTCTGCGTATCGGTGTTTGCGTTGTCAATTGCCTCGCTTATCTGCTGTCCTGTTACTATCACATGAACAATATGCAGAATTTGTCAATCAAATGGATCACACAATTTTCGTTGCACAACAAATATAACGTCATATCAAAGAATTTACCTGCCAGGTCGCACGTCGTACGATTCACAATATTTCTATTTATGGAGGAGTGGCGTCCAATGAAAGGATAATATTTGATCCTGTACGACATTTAAGGTTGTGTGACCTGGCAGGTAATTCCCGATTAATGAAATTTTCAGACTCGGGTGATTCACTGTTTCACGTTGTCAAAGCCACCAGATTATCTCACAACCCAAACAATACTATTACCCCATTCGTAATAGAGTATTGGGCGATCATTTAATAATAGCCATGTGGCGCAAACAGATAGTAACATGACCTATACCACAGCATTTGTGTATTAATATGGTATATTCAGCCAAGTGAGGCGCATGTGTGGCATCCGGAACTTTGGAATCCGCACAAAAAAACCCGAGCTGCTTCATTTCACCAGGAATATTAATGGCTCAATCAAATAAGTTACCTAACTTGTTTGATACAATATTCTCTCTGCATAGCTGTGTTCAAATCGAACAAATCAATTTGCAATCTATAATTAGATTAGAGTTTTATTGTGATATTCCCCGCAGACGTCGACCATGTTGTTGTGTTAATTATTGTCTCATATCATGCGCATATGCACTGGGCCTTTGTTCCAGGGCTTTCGTTTCTTGGTTGACAAATATAGCTGTTGGATTTATTATCGCGTTGCTAGAATCAATTAAGCTGCATCAGATTTGGACAACATGGAAAATAATGTTATCATCTCAAAATCGATTATTGGGTAACGCTAATTCATTGGTTCAGGCACACAGTCTTCTAGTTGTTATTGACGGGGTCTCAATGCCGCTCTACTTATGACGGATGATTGCAAATTTCTAGTTCAAGTAAACAAAGCATAAAGGCGTTTGGACATGCTTAATATATGCCTGCTCGCAATAACCAATAGCTTCGCTTACCAAACATTGTACTGTATGATGGTTTATGACTGCTCACATAAGAGGCAACAAGAAGCTAATTTATGTCAAAAGGTTCTTTATTGATGTTACCACTTTAGTGCAAAGTATAGATTATAGAATCGACTCTTTCCAAGTTTTGCAACAACGCTATCGCCAACAACACTCTTGCTCGGAGTTTCTAGAATATAGTATAGTGCTCGCTCATTAGTATTTGTGTATCAATAGCCAACTTTGGTTAGATCCACGGGCAAATGTACAACGGCTCATATTAATTACTTTATTTGGTAACACTACATTGTTTATTCTGCTAATCCCCAAATTATAGTTGGGATATTTGCAAGCGATTGCCCGTACGCAATAATAAGTCGCTAGCCGATGAAACCGCATGGCATTTCTTCTTTCAGCTCTATCCGTTTGTAGTAGGCGAGGCGCAGCGAACATTTTACGTTGGAGAAAAACATCTATAGCTCAAACTTGTACAATATTTACAGTATACAATACCTCGAGCTAATGTTTGTTCTTGATAGGTAACAGACAATGGCTTCGATGTTGCAATTCATGGGGAGAAAGCCTATACTGAAAATAACTAATTATAATGCACTAATTGTAAATTTCAACATATACAGAGTATTATTGGCTACTTGAACGTCTTTTACTTGCTAATTTTAGTCAGTCGAAGCAATGATGATTGAGAATTCAATTGATTGAATAGAGTAGTTATTCATAGCCGAAAAATCAAATTAGTCATTTATTTCGATGAATGAGGACTGGCGCCATTTTGTGTCATACCAATCGAATGCAAGTAATTCTTAAACTTTGCTAAATCTTTGTGAACTGCTTTGGGCACGCTACAAAAATTCTTCGTGCTGTACGAGTTATCGATTAGGCATCGGCTATGCTATACTAACCGAACTAGCCTATATTTATGTTACCATGAACATTAAATTTACTTACCATTAATAAATACGTCGTATTTATAAATATAAAAGGAACGCGATCAACAAAATCACTGTTCGCACTCATCCGCATAAAGACACCTCCTTCCCCTCTCCTCCGATTTTTTTTCCTCAGTGCAAGGAACAAAAACAAATTCATTCCTTCTAACCTGACCTAACCATACTTTTTCTCTCTCAAAATTTTTTACAAGTGTCTCAATGTGCGAACCAACTACTTTTCATTCTGGCTCACAGTCTGCCGCCACCGAAAATTCTGTGCCTCAACAACCGATAATGGTCCCATTTCCTCCGCCAGTCAAGGTAGAGGATTTAATCAACTTAAAAAAGGATGGCGAGGTGCCAGCAAGATCACCTAACGCATTTCTGATCTATCGGAGATTGTTTGTCCGTGAATTAAAAGCAAAGAATTGCACATTTAAAATGACTGAAGTCAGCGCTATGGCTAGCATATCTTGGCAGAATGAACCGAAATACGTTAAGGATGAATACTGGCGCATTGCCACGGACGCACGGAACGCTCTAATGAATGCACGTCGTACGTCGTTGTCTTTTGCTCGTCGGAAACAACGCGGCTGCTCGAATCGGTTTACTGGTCGCATAAAGGGAGCCTCTCCAGCAAATGAAGGCAAGAAAAAGAACATTGGAAATACAACCGAACCAGCTCATGTCCAACAGCAACAAAACAAGTCGCAACAAATTAATGGTGAACAAAACCAATCCTCGGGAAAACCGATACAGCAATTCGTTTTCGATCCATTTGCTTGTATGCCATCGGAATGGCTGTATATGCACACACTTGACCAGCCACCTTACCTTCATCCTCCCTCCATCGCTTTATCTCCGGATTCCCAGTACGTTAATGACATACCCGAGGATGGCAACTATTTCTGGAATATAAATTCGATTGGTCAATCGTCGTCTGACGAAGAGTTGACCAATCAACCCACCCCGTTGCAGTCGCTGGATGTATCTCCGTCTATGTCAGTTTGGATGAATAGTCCGTCAAGCCCTTCTAATAATGTTAGTGAACAGACAGATGTTTCGTCATATCGTCAATCCATCGCTAGTTGGGATAACCCCATGTATAATATTCAGATAGGTGATGAAGATGAGCAACTTTTTCAACAAACATTTATGCTTTCGTAAATACACTATAAATAATAAATATCGTTATGAACATAATACATATAAATACACATATCCGTTTTACATATATATGTGATAGTTGTAATCGTATTGTTATTTCATTATACATGTACGTATATATGTATATAGCATATATGCCTTTTGTTTAGATTCATAGCTTCGACTCTTCTTTTTACTCGTTATGTTATTTATATTTCGCAAATAATGTTATCAAGTAGTTCAATCACAACCCGTGTATAACGTTACGTTATATGTTATAATAATAAGTTTATTGAGATTGTAATTAAGAAGGCTGGCTTTATGCATAAAAAGATCGGTAGGAATATGTTTAAATAAACGCAGTGGGAAACCAAGAATATGATATTGACTATGTTATTATTGCAACTGCGTCTCTTTCAAAAAGTTTTATGTGTTGTACGGCATGTCTTTACTGATTTGCAGTCGTTTACTCTTCTGCTCTTCCATTTTTTCCAATCACTGTCTGTGCATAAGCACACTATTCAAATTAGGGTACGCAACTTTCCGAATTAGTCATTTCTTAGCGTTAAGGCATTCGTACACAGAATTAAGCATGCATTGTCTGATCGGCACAAAAAAACCGTTTGTGGTTTCCGCTTCACTTTTTTAATGCAGTCATTTAAACTGTTAATAAGATTATTACTTTTGGCTCTCCTTTAAACTGATCTCGCTGACTCGTGCCCATTTTTTATCTTCTTCATCTGATTCATCCTCTAAATTTTCAATTGGATTTCGACCATGGTTCTGGTAGGTAGAAAATGAGACTAAATTCAGTTATCCTCTTTAACGTTTCTGTGTGATTGTCGTCCTGAAAAAGACATCTGCATACCTAAATTTATGAATTCCTTTTTATAGCATCAATGTTACTCGAATTAAAATTGGTTTCACAAAATGGGCTTTTACAGTGATTGTAATTAAAATAACCTTAAAAATTGCTGTGCAATTTATAATTAGAGCTGTCATTTGCAAATTGAAAATTCAGAACAATGGTATATGAAATTTAAGTTTTGCTAACACAACAGGCATTTAATTTCATCAAAGAAGAGGTTTGCGTTCTTTACGATATGAGCGTGGCTTTAAATCGTTCTAAATAGGAAATCAAATAACCATAAAAAAGGTAGCCACTATGAAAAATAAGTGTAAGTTAGCGTGCATTGTGCATCGTCCATGCAGCCACGCGTAATAATAAACAATACTGTAATTGAAACTGACGTCAATTGGGTCGCATGGTTTAAGCAAGCAAATAGTCGAGTTTCTGCTTCTCTGTTAGACGCCTCGTGGTTACGCTAACGTGTGCATGCCAGTATTGAGTTGCCACATATTACTCGTCGGGAAGTCCGACTGTTTCACATAAATTAATTACACCGTTCGCTAACAAAGATATTATATATTAGGACAAGAAATCAACTACCGTCAAACCGCTCTAATTGCATACAGTCGGGACCGCATATTTATGCATTAAAAAGTATGCATTTAGAGAAATAGCCACACTAGTTGACTAAAAAATTTACTTATTGTGAGGGTCGGTTGGATACTTATTAGTAGAGTTGATTAATTATGCGTATGAGCGAATCCTTTGAACGGTTATTCTCGTATTTATGATTGGTTCTATGTATTATATTTCAACAATAAATGTCATATGAAGGAATTTCTGCGTCTGCTGTGTTCTCATTTGATGTTAGCTAGTTTCATTCGTTCAATTTCTGCAATAATAAATTTTTTATCTTCACAGGATAGGTCGATATTGTTTGGAGAATACTGCCTTTCCCTTAACGATTTTGATATAATGTTGGATAACTGTTGATTGACCCGAGTGGATTTGTTCATATTATTATACTTTATAATAGGGCTTCGATTATTAGAATCCTGTTCTGATGCAAGGGCCTGTTGTGTTGTGTCTGAGTTTGGGACCTGTCTCAGTTCGGAACCAGTCACTCAGACCAGAACTCAGTTGTTTCAGTCCAGAACTGAGACAGATCCCCAACTGAGTAAAAATAAAACAAACAACATAAAGCCAATGTTAATGGTAAAAACTGGCTGTGTTTGCCTCCTCTATTCTCTCTACCTGTTAAAAAGAAGCTCTATCGATTATATATCAAGGCAAATCACTATTCAATTGTATCTCTTCCAAGTCTTGGACAACAGCAGAATCTAATCGTTATATTGATTTTTTATAGGAGAAATTCCTCCTTTTTTATCATTGGAGCTTATGTTTGAAATTTGCAATAATATCCAACCCAGACAGGCAAGTGTCAAGCAAAATAATCGATTAGAAGAGAAAAGGCAACGGTAGACAGATTGTTAATTACCAGTCAATCAACAGCAAAGGAGGGAAATGGAGATACACAATATCCAGCGAGCTAGTATAGTTTGATATGGACCACAATCTGAGTATGTTTTTTGGCAGAAATAAGCAAGACTACGTCTTGTCTTCAAATGGGGATACATTTAACGCATTCTAGCTAATGCCTTATTGTTATGCCTCCAACGGACAAAGCATCACATCATTAACCCACCACTTATACATGTTATCTGACAATCATAGGACTACACGAAAGATTACTCCAAGAAAATATTGCTTTCGGGCAAAGAACCCAAAAAATAGCCATTGACTTAGGGATTGGCATTTTTTTCCTGCTGGCAATTGCTTATTTTTGGTCAGTTTAAATTTAGAAAAACTAAGTGAAGAATTCAATGGTTGGTTAAGAAAAAATAAAACAGTTCAAGAATACTTAGATACTATTTATCCTCCTGAAAAGAGAAAAGAAATAATACGGCTAAATATTAATAAAAAAACCCTCCAAGGAGAATTAGATTTATCTGATTTTGTTAATTAGAATCATGTAGTACATAATCGCTCTCTTATTATTATTATTATTATAGACAGTTTTGCGAACGTTATAAGTTTACGTTAATTAATGTTGATAGAAAATCCAAACATTGTGCACGTGATGGTTCAAAAATAAAAAAATAGCAAGCTAGAAATTTGGTTTCGTTAACAAAATTCCAGTACACAATTCGAAAAAACACACTTTAGCGGCTTCTTTAATACTCATAATAAAGAAAAAATATACACAAATAATAATGTGCTGCCCTTTTGATAAGTTTGTTCGCGATATATCCGTACGATGTAACACAATAAATATTGTGCTTGGAAAATTTTTATTCAAACTATTGTCGTCGTTAAAAATATGCATAATCCAGCAATTGACGGCTTGATTCAATCCTCCTGGGCAAGTTATTATGAACTCGAATGGATTCCTTGTTCTGAAATCACTGAAATCACTGATATCAAGCCAACTCCAACAGACACTATCTATTACGCTAGTCGCAAACTTAAACTGTTTGGTAGCAGTGAGAAAACAATGTTGCTGTTACTTGGGAGCGACGAAACATGTACACTAACACTAGTGAGTGAGTTTGCTAGAATATACTCGCTTCCGACATGCCAGCACAACAATGACGTTAATCAGTTCGGAAGATACAAAAAAATGCTTAAATATCGCAACAATCAAATACATGGATTTACTAAATACGACGGTAACTACTACATGGTTGCTGATAGAAAGTTTTACGATTATTATTCTCTCTATGGATTCTGCTCCGCCTGTGGAATACTCCGATGTAGTCCTGTGTGGTGCATATGTGGATATAAAAAATTATCCGATGGATGGACTAGCAATAATAAGCAACTCGATGGGTTTATTAAGAAATCTCAATTACAAACAACCTCAGCAAATCAAGCCTATTTGGAATGGATTCCATTTGATTGGATTTTTTTATATTGGGGACATTCTGACAATCCCAAGTGCTTATATAGTCTACATCATAATATAGGGGATGTTGAATTGATTCCGCTTGAAATAACCGATGAGGCAAATGATTCATGTTATAATAAGGTAAATAAATTATTCAATTATAATTATGCAGTATGTTTATTGAATTGTTTGGATAATTAATGACTCAATATAACATATCATTTCACTAGTTATATGACGAGCATCCAGATATTCTTATGAAAAATGTTTGGCTTACCATCGGCTTTACATACAATGCACGTGAACAGAAGTATTGTCTAATAAAGAGTCATGGGCATGGATTATGCCTGATGTGTGCAGAGCGATTAAACCGCAGGATAAATCCATTCTGTTTTCATTGTAAAGCACCAATACCTTTCGATTGGACTACGGGCAACAAGTCTTTGGATTCATTCATTATGGAGTCGTGGAGTAATGTAAAAGTTATGTATGATGCGTATATACAATGGATAGAATATTCTCTATTGATGAATGTACAACAGATGAGATCATTACGCCATGGATGCACACATATTAATACAGCATATTGGTTAGATCAGAGAACAAATAAATTGATACAAGTGACACTCAAGCAGATAGGTGATAATCAGTCACTTGATTTTGATCAGGTAAGTCATTTCACAATGCAAATAATATTTGTCTTTTGTGATGACTGTTGTAACAACTATATTTGCTTACCCAAATTAAAATAGCTGGTTAAGGAATACCCAACAATATTAACCCCCGAGAATAGTTTGATGATTGGGATCACTCAAGAACCATCTACTCAAGCATATTATTTAATTTTCTACCATGAAATACGTCCAATATTGGACAAAATTATACGATATTACAAATGTGTATGGTATATGCAGTATGACGAGTTTTATGGACTCAAAGAAATTGGATCTGGTGGTTATGGAACAGTTTATATTGCCAAAAATAAAAAGTATTCAGAATATAATATGCCACAAACTGTTGTACTCAAACGATTTAAGAATTTTGATCAGATGCCAGAATTATTTATTAACGAGGTAAGCCTTCTTCAACATTATCAACTAACATGATATTTAATCTAACTCTATATTTATTTTATTTAATAGTTCAGAAATCATACCAAGTGCATATATGCTGGGATATCTGCAAATATCCTTATAATTTATGGAGTCACACAAGACCCAGAAACAAAAGACTACATGATTGTTATGCAATATGCTAACAATGGTAGTCTTTTGTCTTATTTGGATCAAAACATAAACAAGTTGACATGGAGGATGAAATTGCAGTATTTGAGGGGTATTGCAGATGCTTTATATGCTATTCATTCTATGGGATTAGTGCATTGTGATCTTCATGGCAGAAGCATAGTTTTGCATATTGACAATGAGTCTGAGACAGAAAAAGATTTTCAATTATGTGATCCATTCATACATGATTTTAGTCTTTCTCGACCAGAAAATTCACATCAGTCAACCATTCAATATCAAGGCATTTTACCCTTTATTGCACCAGAAGTTTTTCATACTTGGCAATTTACAAAGAAATCAGACATATATTCTTTTGGTCTTATTATGTATTTAATGGCCACTGGTGAACCACCTTTTAGAGATAGAGAATTTGATAGAAATCTATTATCTGACATTATGGGTGGACTACAACCAATGATGCCTGATTCAGCACCAGAGGAATACGAGAAACTTGCTGAGTGGTGTTGTGATGTCAATCCTGACAAGCGTCCAGATGCAAAGACAATTCGGGATGATATTATCAATCTTATTAAAGAAGTGGACAAGGATAATTCTAGAAGCAACATATGGGATACAATCTATTATAATTACAATGATGTAAAACCGTAAATACTCTAGTAAGTTCTTACCTCCTACTACTACTAGAGATTTGCCTAAATCATATGATTTGGATTCAGCTGCGGGTATGAAGATAGCAACTGGTTATGTGTTGATATAAATGAAGTCTACTTTACAATATTAACATGTTTATTGTTTTTATAATCTAGTGACTCATAATCTCAAATAAACTTGTGATCGCAGTTCAAGTCAGGACTATTAGTGAGCGACTAATGGCTTGTATGCTTTTGATCGTAGTACCATTCGAACCGCCAATAAAAATCAGTTGCTCGGGTGAATATGACTATCCAATTTTTACCAATAAGAAAACTATAGAGTAGTTTATTACCGCCTCTGTAACTTTCAATGAGTTTTCTTACTTCCAGGTACAATCTATTGCTATGCCACAAAGCTTCAGTGTTGTTGTCCCATCACTTACATGTTATCTCGATTTATTTATCAGTTTCGACAATCCTGAGCCAAGATAGGAAGGACCATTACATGATCGCTCTCTTATAAACGGTTTTGAGTAATCACTACAGACGCTATGAGTTATGTAATAGCGTACGATGATACGTTGTTGATGTAATATTGATAGGAAATCCCAACGTTGTGCATAATAATAAAATAAAATAAAATAAAATAAAATAAAATAACAACTAAAAAATAACAAGCTACAGATATTAATATGCGTTCGTTAACATAATTCCAGTTGAATTCTCAAGGCTTAAACCAATAGTTAATATATGGATATGCGAGTGGGCAACACTGCTGGTATAATAATATGATAATTGCAGTATTTGTACAGTGTAAAATTAAATTTGCTGTTGTTAATGTCAAATTTTGGCCGAAAAAATTTTTTGTTTGATAACACTTGCTGTTATTTTATTATAGCATGTCTGTAAACTCGGTTATGTGTATAAGAGTTAAGAGGTTTAAATCAAAGTTTTGGGAAGTCTTTAATTTCACAGGAGCGCGGAAGAGATAAGGTCAATCCACAGTATTCCGTAAAGTTAAAAAGTATGGGTCACAAAACACTTTGCAATTAAGAAACTTGAGAATCGGTTCATTTAGTTGGTATGAGTCTGTATTATAATATTCCTCGAAATTAGGTACTCGCCGAGAGTCAAATTCAACCATTCAAAGCGTTTTACCATTTATTGCGCCGGAAGTCTTCTACACTTGCAAATTTACTGAGAAATCAGACATATTAATATATGCGATGCATTTTGCTACTGATTTAGTGATAGTAATAGGCAGTTTGATAGAAGTTTAATATGGGTGGACACGACCAACGATGCCTGATTCCGTCCAGAAAATTCTCAGCTTTGTCGTGATGCCAATCCCGACAAGCGTCCAGGTGCAAGCTTACTTCTTAGAGAGGAGAACAAGTATAAGCATTATTATTATAACGATATATGGGATACTATCTATCATAATGACATAAGACCCTTGACGCGTCTTGGAAAGGAGAGTAAATATTCTAGCAAACTCTTACCTACTGGAGATTTGCTTAAACCGGGAAATAGCTATGATTTGGGTTCAGCTGCAGATATGGAGACAAGAATTGATTATGTGTTGATACAACAAAGTCAATTTACAACATTAACATGTTCATTGTTCTATAATTTAGTGACAAACTCTTTTTGAATAAACTTGTAATCACGGTTTATTTAAATTTTCAATCGGGTTCAAGTCTGGACTATTAGCGGGCCAGTCTATGATTTGAAGGACATTCTCCTGAAGAAATAACTTGGCTAAATAATGGCTTGTATGCTTCGGATCGTTGTTCTAGTTAGAACGTCAATTTCTTTCCCATAACATTTGCTTATAGAATATTATGTTTTCGAAGCAGAAAAGTCGTGTATCCCTCGTCGCACAAAAACAACCTTGTGCGCAAAAAATTTCTTGGCATGGCCAAATGGGTTTGTAATAAATGGAGATGTCTGTCTGAAAACAGTTGTTTTTTTTTCCAGTTATCTTGTAGATGACATTTAGCGTTCCTCTTGTGATTTGCAGCAGCATAGCGATAGGACAGTTTTCTTGTACCAATTCGAGTCAGATGTCTTGCAATGGTTGAACGAGACACTTTTACTTTGCGCTAACAGTTTACGTTCTAAAGCCCTGGTTGATATTAGAATAGTTTCTACGTATGTATTGACAAATGTTTCTGGAAATGTCCGCAGTAATTTGGGTTGTCAGTGCCCATGCATTGGTGACATTTTCAATATGTAAATTTGTCCCAATACGGATCTCCTTATTTCACAAATGTAATAGAGCTTGACGTTATTTGAGCTGTGGGCACGATGAAAACATCTTAGTAATATTTTAATAAAATGGATAAGATAACCCGTTAATGTTTCTAACTAATTCTCAAAGCGTCGACGTTGCATAATTAATATACTATTTATCCTTTACAAGCGTCTCAAAAACGCGGTATTGCTTTGAGCAGCATTTTAGATCTATATCAGGATCTGTACTGTATTTGTTTCAATCCGCATGTGAGCCACATTAGTTCTTTGGCATACGGCAGACTGCGGATATAATCCTGTGCCTAACAATTAGTCTTGGCTAGAATCAATCGATTGAACAGAAATCTACTAGATTTACCCTGGCGCCACCAATCCTCCGAAGAGTTCGTTTCATTCGGCAGTTGAACAAAATTCTTCAAACTCTAGGAACCCGCATATTAATATTACCACGTTTGTGTGATCATCTCGTATGACGACATAATATCGAACCCAAAGTAAAAAGGGCAAAAGGCAAGTGCTCTTTTCTATTTATCAACAATACCCGCCCGCATTTCTGAACAAACTGATATATGATAGTGACCGCAAACATGGAAAGACCGAAGACCACTTTTTTAAAACCTATATTAAATATTAATATGTGAGTGGAAGCAGACATAATAATAATGGTAACAACCAACGTTTACGATATTCCTGCTGTATTGTGCACGTATTAAATGCATCAAAGGAGTGTTTCTTTGGGATAGTCGGAAACTTTATTGAACTTATAGCATATTGGATGTATTGGTAGTAATCTTAATTGTATAATGATGAGGTGGTATCTTAAAGCATAAAAAAACGAGAATATGGAATTCTGTAAAAATCTAATCAAAACAAATGATAGATAATATATCAAAAAAAAAAAGTAAAAAATAGAAGCCAAATGTAAAAAGAAAAACAACCAAAAAACCAAAAAACCAAAAAACCAAAAAGAAATTTGGAAACAGAGAGAGAAAAAAAAATAATAAATGGAAACGTAAAATCAAATCATTTCATTGTGTTGTCGAAAATGGGCCGTTCATAATATGCGATTGTAGACAAATCGAAGTAAGCGTCTTGAGGAACTATATAAAATATGTCATGTGATTAGACGAGTATAGTAAGTAAAATGTCACTGAAAAGCAGACCATAAACAATCTAATGATGATTGCGCCCTCACTCTCATTCTATATCTATGACGCTCACCGATAATATGGTTCTTATTCTACAAACACACATACTGACTTTGGGTCCGATTGTTTAGGTCCAAGAGTTAACAATTTCGGCCACGTAAATCATCACTTTTTGTCGGGCAACAAAGAGCATCCTGCGAACCAGTCGCGAGTGACGATTGAAGCTTCGTCGGCTTTGTGTCGAATCAGTTGAAAACCGTCTAAATCGCATAATTTATCGTCTATTATTGTCTAATATCGTCTATTTTATTTTTTTTATATTTTTTTGTATACCGAGTCAGACTAGTTGGGCTTTTCTATCACATAGCAGAGAAAGCTCAGTGACTAGGACATGACTTGATCGTTCCCGGGGTTGAAGGGTTCAGGGGGGCCTATATATTCTAAAAACACTCGGGGAAAATGATCGCAATTTGTATCACTCATATGAAGAGGCGGGGGTAAATAAATATCGATATAGTCAAAATACTTTAAATTATTTCTTCCTTGTTTAGACACTAATCTTAACTTGATAATATTCCAAATATTCGGGTCGGGGGTAATAAACGTGAGATATAGGACAAGGAAAATTTTTATCTTTTTTAGTAGTTTTCAACAGTTTACATCCAGACGAGAATTACTTTAGAGTTCCCTCCCCCACCCTCTCCCCACCCTCTCCCCACCCTCCGCTCTTGTCGATTTCGGTGACAACAATAGATACCTCATGACCCAATCCCTTACGTATGCATCTAATACGCAGAGAGGTATTCAAAATTGGACATTAATGCAACCTAAGCTCACCGACAAAGACGCATTGCGGCAGTGTACATGAAGGATTCGCACATTCGTCCACTCATAAACTACTTTATCAAACTAATTTAATATGATTTCTTTGATAAAGAGCGTTAAATATGCAATACAATTGCGTAAGCGTTCGGGTATGATGGGGGATCGATATATCGATATGCAGTCACATATCGAATGAGGGGGGATGATGACTATCGATGTGGGGTGTATAAAGTGCATAAGTGCATAAATGACGGAGAAGGAGACATGTGAGATAAAAATAATGATCGGCTGCGTGCATAGCAACGAAACTCTATGGGAGATAGTCTTGCAAATAAAAATATATTGGCGTTGCGAATATGCATCACTATAAATATCCCCCAGAACAACGAAAATACTCCCCCAACAAATAATTAAATAATTGTACCTGCACTGTACTTGTCATATAATCTTTGAATTCCTGTTTCAGTGGCTGCAAATACTCAAGGTAGTATATACCCAAATTTCAATAGGATTTGTACGGTACTGCGTTACACATCTGCTGCATTCGAACTTCTCCACTGTTTTTTGCCTCTCCCATGCTTCTTTTTTCATTCACATGCAGATTGCCCCACAGAAGATGCGTTGTTTGAGAATTGTCCTTTTGCAAATGGATCTGTATGATACACATCACATGTGAACGGGCAGGCAATTACAATTGATAAATGTATTAGATTGTATTCGTATAGTGCAAGAGTATAGTAATAGGCATCGCAATTCAACAAAGGACTTTGTATATTATATTGCGTCCATATTACTCTAACCGAAAGGTAAGAGACCTTTTATCCTCGTTTTCCCGAAATGCAGCTTCAAATTGTTCCAACAAGTACGAAACACTAACCATAGTATCTATCTCCAAATATAGGACGCCAACAGCCGAGTGCCATGTGAGAGTGCTTTGTTGCGCATTAGGGAGCAAGATTAGTGGAGCAGACCATCATGAAAATATGGAATCGAACATTAAATGGTCCGTGGGTGATCGGAATGTTGACGATGGCTTTCCTTTCTAGAGGATCTTTCCACTATTATTACCACAGTTTCACTATCGTAACGGCAGAGGCACATTGGTACTGAACGAGATGAGATACATATTATATGCAACATTAGTAACAATATGGTCCATACTATACTTGTATATCCGTTCCATTGAAGGACGTGGTACGGTTCATCCTACTTTATTTATCTTATTCCTGTTCCTATTTTATCTTTACTTGCTTTCGTATCTTTCCGTTGAAATTTATCAATCTCCAGTTTTCGGATCATTCCGTAGCTTGCGATAGAAACATTTCAGGTCGTAATATATTAGAGTCATAGATGGAATTAACTCTTTCTCAGCTTTAAGGACAAACTTTAAAAGTGATGATGCTATATGACAACTCACTATATCTTATAAAGGCCAAATTACCGTATTTTCGAATCGTCAACCAATTGTAAAGCAATAGGTTCGGATGTAATTATAATATCATGTTTCGAACTGGCATAACCATAAATATAACAAAAATAAAGACAACGAAACACTATAACTTTTTTTTGGTAGAAATATCTGGTAATATCGTATATCCGATTATTGTTAAGTAACTTTTCACAAAGACCATGATATTCAACAAGAGAACAGAATATTTTCAATTTTCGTGATTGACAATCGGAAGTAAATCTGCCGATAATTTCATCATATGCATGTTGCTTATATCATCATATTGCTTATATCATCATATTCATGCATTCCCTGATTTGAAAACCTCTGAGCCATCGTCAAAAGAGAAACAAAAAGTGTGCATGCCTATAAATTGGTGGAAGAATGGAATATATCTCAGTCAGTGTTTTAATTAATTTAGTAGATTCAATGAAGCAATGTTGTGAGAAAGTTATCGAGAAAAATTGTGAATGAATATCTTATTAATTTATACCAATAAAATCTACTCATTTCAAGTTTTATTGATGTGCAATATATTGACAGAGCAATGTTGGTTAAAAAATTTCTCCCCATATTGTACATGGAAGCATGATATATAATTAAAGAGGAGATAAAACTTGTATAAACTGTAAATCACCCATAAATTACAAGTTTATTCAAAAAGGAGTTTGAGTCTCTAAATTATAAGAAATGGACAGTGTTAGCATTGTAAATTGACTCCATTTATATCAATATGTAATCATACTAATACCTGCAGCTAAATCCAAATCATAACAGTTTCTCGAGTTTAGGTAATTCTCCTGTATGTGTAGGTAATAGGTAATAGTAATAGTAAGAGCTTTTACTCTCCTCAAGATGTGATAAAGGTTTTGCATCATTATAATAGATGATATCCCATTATTGTTATTGAATTATTCTTGTCACCTCTCTAATAAGCTCATCAATATTATAGTCAAGTACTAGTACATGTATATCCAGATGCTTATTAGGATCAGCATCACAACACCATTTATATTCAGCAAGTTTCTTGTATGCCTCTGGTGCTGTTACTGTGGCCATATACATAGTCCACCTGTAATATCACATAACAAATCTCTGCCAAATTCTCTGTCTTTAAAAGGTGGTTCACCAGTAGCCACTAAATACATAACAAGTATAAGACTGAAAGAATATATTAATGTGTCTGATTTCTTTGTAAATTGCTGGATATGAAAGACTTCTGGTGCAATAAGGGTAAATAGTTGACTGACATGAATTTGCCAATTGAGAAAGACTAATATTGCATATTAATATGAATGGATCATTTCTAATTGAAAATCTTTTTCCACCTCAGACTCATCATCAGTATGTTTCCACCATGAAGATCACAATACACTAATACTAATCCCATGTGATGAATAGCATGTAAATACCATACAAGCATTCTCCATGTCATTTTTGATCAAAAGACTGCCATTGTTAACATAATCCCATAACAATCATATACTCTTTTGTTTCTAGTTGTTGTGTGACTCCATAAATCTGAAGGAAATTTGTAGACCTCACAATGCACTTGGTATGATTTTTGAACCATTAAATAGAGTGGGATATAGTCTATATAGACTATAACTATCCCACTTAGTCCGGATTATAACCATCGTGACGACAAGTTTGCATTTGTATCGTCATTTGCCGAGGAAGTCAGCTGAGGAAGAAGTTAGCCGCCAGACCGACTCCGATTGCCGCAAGCTGTTTGAGTTTACCTGCAATTCTCTTATCTTATTACTTGTCGCGGTTATATGGTTTACTGTTCTGAAGCCTAATGGGAAAACCGAAAAAATAGAATCGGAGGCCGCAAATATATATTAAATGCAGTGCATTTCGTCAATTTAATCGTTTTTTTCGCGTTATATGAATACTTGGCATTAGACAACTACTGCTAAAACGACTCGCGGGGCGAGGAGACTTTGCCTCTAATGTATGCTCATCAATAGGGAACACTCTATCCATTGTATATAGGCATCAGATTTGTATGCCATATTACTCCATGACTCGCATAATAATAGACGTTGTCCATTTGATTTGGCTTTATGTAAGTAATTTGCGACTGAATCAAGTTTTTAATTGCTATGACAAAGGATTTCGAACGCGTACTGTAATTGCGCAGGCACAGTAATAATATTATTACATATAAACAAACAGCCATTGTAAATAACAAAATAAGCTTCACTGTTCACACCGGCACAATGTTGCTCAGTACCAATCTGTAGAAATAATGTTGAGTAATCCTTGTGGGATTAAAGGCCAAGTTTGACTTGCAAAACTCTAGACATCAGCAGAAGCAGAGCTTGATTCTCCTTGCTACATCCCAGTCTTGTTAAAAAGTGAGTTATACCTCATTTTTCATGAAACAAGAAATTGTCCCAGATGGTTTAATTAGAATGTGTTGCTAATTATTATAGGACAGTAATGCACATACCGTGTCTACTAGATACATACTGGGAAGATTTTTGATTTCTTCGATTCTTTTCTTTTATAAGAATAATAGTACCTAATCGGTATCTTGCTATCAAGCCTTTGCTAAAACGCACGTAACTTTGTGTACATTCATCCATGGGCGCGAATTGGAACCAGCATATCGCCTATTAGTGCTTGCTATCCGCCAGTTCTTCACATGTGCCTTTGTATTCATTTTGGCTCAATTAATATTGCCACTGTAATGGTCAGAGTTGTTGATATACACTACAATGCGACTATGGTAAAAATAAACATACTCCAATAATAGAGGTGAAAGTAACTCGTTCTTGCTGCCAATCCGAAATTATTGTGGATAAAATATTTAAGGTCACAGAAATATACACAAGATTATCTTGGGAATTAATAAATTTCACCTTTTGTTTGTCAAATAGTATCACCCGTTCTAGAATTCACGTTTAGAGAATCTGTCGTTTTTCCTTAAATATCCCACGACAGTATAACTATATGCATTGGTTGTTCTAGCATCTTTTATTATCGACAATGCGTGCTCTGTCTATTTTATACAAATCCCACATTATTCTTCCACCCCAACTTCAAATACGACTTTAATGCACGCGTTCGTTTTCTTATCGAACATTTCATAAGCTTTATTTCCATCCGATAACTTCATCCGGTGGGTTATTATTTTCTCCAGATCGTATTTCTTGCTCAGAACTAAAGGCATGACCTGAGGAAGAAGACTCATTACTGGACATCGACCTGTCTTGAACGTTACGTTCTTGTTATATGCACTATAAGATATTATTAAGATTGTTGTCAGGTGATAGTCAACAGCATATGGTAAACGGAATTGTGTTGTTAGAATACAGATTTGTAAATACCTCGTTGGATTGAAGGGAAAAGTATCACTGTTGTTGACCCCGACACTTGATATTACCCCTCCCGGTCTAACTAATTCAAGCGCTAGTGACAATGCAGAATTATTTCCAACGGCCTATAGTGATGTTAGCAAACCCCATTATTATGAAATGTCAACCTCGCAAACGCGTATACACAATACGAGCAGATCACCAATTGATCTTCCTTTTCCATCTTTATCCATCTACCGATTACATACATACCTCCAGGATAACATCCGCTCCTCGCCCATCCGTACAGTTCCTCACAGCATCACGTACAGCATCCGGTCTCGCTCCTTCTGCTCCATACATTCTAGCCATCTGCACTCTTTCTTCTACCATATCTACTGCAATTACTTTACCGACACCCAGATACAACGCGCTAACGACGGCCATCAATCCCACCGGGCCGCACCCCAATACTATTACGACCAGTTCAGCCTTTCTATTCAATTCACGCTGCTTTGCCGATGCAGTCTCTTCATCCATCGGTTCCTTTCGAAATCCGTACACGTTCTCGACACCATTCAAGGCACAATGATACCCTGTGGTCAAGACATCTCCGAGTAATAGAGTTTCAATGTCGGATATCAATGGCGGACAGGTGAATAATGACGATGATGCATTAGGAATTAGGACATATTCACATTGAGTGCCGTGAAGACCGACAGAGGATGACACATAGCCGAGAAGAAGACCATTGATACAGCGCGAAGAGAGGGAGTGTGTGCAGTAGTAACACTTTTTAAAGTTGTCCCAGTCACGTGTACAGTATGTAATTAGCATGTTGTCACATGATTGTAAAATTGGGAGAGATCGATCTTTCGCCGAGACATAGATGATGATTGATATTCTACAAACATTCGGGAAATAGTACTTCCTTTTCTTACCTCTCCACAACAGGTAGTAAATGCACCTCCAACCCTGTCCCCAACATTTATCCCGACGACTTTGCTCCCAACCTCTGCCACAACACCCATAAACTCATGTCCCATAACAGTACCCCTATCGGGGCCAGGTTCAGTACCCCGATATATGTGAAGATCTGATCCGCACAGACCCGCGAAACGGATTCGTACTATTGCATCGGTAGGTGAACAAAGTCTTGGACGCGAAGCAGATGTGTGAATAATCGTATATGGAGAGTGAAAAGTCAATGCTTGCATTTCTGCGAGTGGGGATTGGTGGCGGTAAACTATAGTTGTGTTGGTATGGTGGTGGTGGGAGTGTACGGGAAGAAATTGAATAAAATTTTTGGTCGAGAAAGATAAGGTATTGTGGATCGTATCATTTTTATTGGTGACATTTATATGTAATACGAGACCCTGATAATAAATAGTAATAGTGATAAGCTTGATTTCAGCAAATGGCTATCCACATGATGTCCAAATCAGTTAATATTAAGTTTTCTTGTGTAATATAATTCTATCATTCGTATGGTTTGTTTCCTGTGTGAATTACGTCATTAACAGCCCGAAATGGATGCTGTTACTATGGTCTTAGGATTGTAAAAAGGGACTTAAATAATTTTCCCTACCTTATCGTTAACCACTTAATTTAGTTAACAAACTTCTGCATCTAGTATTAGTGGTTTCAGATGCGTAATACGCCTGTATAAGTGTTTCTGGGACGATGCAATTAATTTCCTCGAAACGGATTAAAAACGAACCAATTACGATGATAAATATCGTATAGTCTTTTCTATTCTTATTATTGGTATTATTGTTATTACTCTTTCTGCCATTTACTTTCGACTTGAATCATGAACAAGCCAATCCAAAAATATCCACTTGAGCATTTTGAAATGTCCGACTTTTTTCCGAATGGGCTCTTTTTAGTACATGCTCTGCATGCTGATTCGTTATATGACGGTGAAAACATTGACTAATGCATGGTTTAAAATAGTATATTCCATTCATGTCATTGATCAATGACACAAATATTTTCACAAATTTGCATCACGGGATACTCAATAGCAGATATTTGTACTTAAGCATATTTTTATTACTGTGCTACGAACGGAAAAGAAAAAAATTTAAACCATAAGCATGTTCCCTAATGAACCCATAGTCGAAGTTTCTATACGTACAAAAAGCGTAATTATTTATGTCATAACCCTATAGAAAGGAAAGAGCCATACTTTAAGCTGGCCATTATAGAATGCCTAAATAAATGGGCACGAAAAATTGGCAAAAAAACTAGAGAAAATAGTGGAAGAAAAATGACTTTTGAGATCACAATTCTTTCTTTTGTGCGTAGACCCGATGAATTGGTCTTCTCGTGTTCAGCCGCTTCATTTCGTTATGAATCACCTCCCAAAGCGCATTGTAGTGATTGACGCTCATTTTCATTGAATCGGCGAGGCCATCGCGGACTGACATGAGGAAATTACCATAATCGTTGCGGGCCTATATGGGGTAGTTAAAGTAAAGTAAAGAAAAGTAAAGAATGAATAAATAAATAATATTGATGCATGCCTCACAATGTCTCGTTAATAATGTACTGATCAAAGGGATACTCACTTGCTGCGCAATTATGGTCGTTCCTCCACTTTCTATATCTCTAGTTTCTCGCTCAATCTGTTGCAGATTGCCGTTTGCGGCCAGATATTCGTGTAATTCTTGGGCCAACTTATCGTTGACCTCCTTAGAGCGTAAATAATGTTGTAGCGCTACGATAATTCTTTTCGTTTCATTGCCACCGTTCACCAGTTCGATGTCACATTCCATCAACTCGATCCATCCGCCTGGCTTGGTGACTCGAACCAGTTCGTCTATCACCCTCGTCCTCCATTCATTGTCAGAGAATCCAATCGACAAAAATCTCTGCGTGACAAAATCAAAGTTATTATCGGGAAATGGTAATCCCTCAAGAATGTTGCCTTGGACGAAGGAGACGTTTGTTGGGATCTGTGATCCAGGCTCAGGTAGCAAATCAACGCCAATAAAGTTGGATTTAGAATAGGTTTCCGCCATATTGAACAGCCAAGCTCCGGCACCACAGCCTACATCCAGGACAGTTGCTCCCTTTGCTAAAGTTTGACCGACGGGAGCCGAGAAGTTATTGTTCCAAAAGTGTCTGCTCACTTGATGACTCAGAGCTTCTACTTCCTGATTGTTTTCTGGAATGTCGGCCGTTGTCTCGTCGTCGCCGGAATCGTATTCCTCTGTTGGCGACAGGCTGGCTGTGGAGTTTTCATGATGCTCGGTCGTCGGTGATATGTTGTCCGAGTCTGAGAAAGGGCAAAACGAATCGACAGCTTCAGTAGAAAGTTTGCTGCTGTTGTAGATATTGTTGTCAATATCTCCCGAATCGACAGCTTTAGTAGAAAGTTTACTGCTGTTCTGGATATTGTTGTCAATATCTTCCGAATCGGCGTATTGGTCGTGCTGCTCTTGATTCATTTTTTGTAAATAGTCGGGTATTGAGTGGTAGTGTGTGAGTAGTAGGAATTAGGATGTAAGGAATGGTGGGGGGGTTTCAAAAAGAAGGTAGGTGAGAAAGAGTGAAGGGAAAAAAGAGTGTAAAGGATTGCTTGGGCTTGTTGATTCCCAGAGTGATAAGGGGAGAAAAAAGTCGTCAAGCGGGGACAGCCTAGTTTTATCCATGATGAGTAGGGGTGGAGGATTGGTGCAATGTATGATGTATAGTCGATGTGATCATTGTTTGCTGTGGTGTTTGTGAGCTTATTGGGATATAATGATTAAGGGTTGATAATGGAGGACAACAGGCTAATTAAAATAGGGCAGTGGTAGTTAAAGAGAGCACAATTGTGTATAGATACAATAAATAATGACGGGGGGGTATAAATAATACCCAAAAATAGAGAAAGATGTTAATATTTTTAGGCATCAAATATATGTATCTACATGCGGCATGTAGATTCAAAGCTATTGGCTCGACGTGTGGTCGGCTAAGACATCAGTGGTTATGCGCTATAAAAGCTCGTAGGTAATAAAGCCTTTAATAAATGTGTAACTGTAACCAGATAACCGAAACGGTTAGGTACCATAGTCATCAAAAACGTCAATTCATGGGGTGTGATGATTGAGAACAATGCTGGCTCTCATCGGCGAATACTATTGGTGGCATATTTTACGTTGGGCGAAAAAGCCTTATGCCATTCCCCAGTAAGCAGACGAGAAATTGATGTTATTCTATGCAAGATCTCGTCATTGAAAGTAAAATGGTAAAAGCACATGCTCGAATAGATTACACCTCCCGGTCATCTCCACGCTGCAGTAAATAGTTCCTCGGCTAGTTACTAATATTGGTTTCATCCCATTACCGCTATCGCTATTCATCGGACTCTTGTTATTATTGTTGCGTTGGGCGATCAAATTACTTAATTTCTGGTTGGTCCAATGAGAGTTCTTCCCATTCGTGATGTATATATTACTTGTGTTTAATTAACTATTATATTCGGAGTACGGAGCTTTTATCAATGTCAGGGTGTACAAGATTGATCAATGCTCATCCACTGGTTCGAACGACAACCAATGGCATCGGGGGTTAAATTCGATGAATTATTAACCCAGTCTAGATGATCATACTTTAAACAAATAACATGACGATAATGTGAATGTAACGCCACGGAAAATTGTTTATATTAAAGTATTCTAAATCTCCGAACGCTTTTGGTAGAGAGAAAAGTTCATTCACTTCGTAGGTCCGGGAGAAAAGAAATTCTTTCGTCGAAAAATTGATAATCAGATTTCCTTTTCCCAAGAGAAATAATCGTAACACAGGGCTTGAAAAAGAAATCCGATAATCAACGTGAATTACTCAATTCGGTTGGAATTATAACTTTTGCAATTTCTTATTTAGCCGAGAGAGATATTTTCTTGGCTGTATAAGCATTTCCTTATCTAGCATCAATAAATTCCTTTTCACTTGATCAAAGCATTGGGTAACGTAAAAATTAATTAAGTTTATTACGTAGAGTCTGCATCAATAGCAGAGAAGGAGAGATATAGTGATAAGGCTGTTTTAATTGTAACGTCTTAAAATAGAAAGGTAAAATCTCCTTATTTTGAATTGTTGATTTTGTGAACTGATGACAGAATGCAATAAAGTGAATAAAGTTTATTTACCGTTTTTACAAACTTTATTTATTTATAATGTAATACATTTGTATATCAAAAATTTTCAGTCTGTACGATCAAATGACAAAAGACTGTGTTTGGAATAATACCACTTCCAAAAACGACTAAATTACATAATTATCGGAGTATTTTGAATCTCAGAACTCTGCGGAAGCAATAACTTGTTCACCGCCCGCTGAAAAAAAAAAAAAGGGTAACAAGCCAATCTACAATAAAAAGCAATAGATTGGTAATCAATGGTATAATAAAATAACAATAACATATTAGTGCATTGTCTGTGTGTTGTCTGTGTGTTCTGTGAGCACAAAGAGCGTTGACAGTGCAAGTACTACTGGCTTTAGCAAGCCTTTCTCTTTCAGTGAAACCAAATCGTATTAATGAAACTTGCAATCTCAAGTCTGAACTTGATATAGGCCCAAGGAATGTTGTGTTTTGTCTGTTACATTAATAATAATAATGACAACAATCAAATGCATTAACAGTTAACTATTCAATCGTTAGTACTATCTTTACGTGTTGAGTCCAATTGGTAATACTACTAATGAAAGTCATAGACAGGTAAGTTGAAGTGATTTTATTAAGTAATATAACAAGCTAAAAAGGTAATAAAACACAATAACAAGCTTGAATTATTATACGAATGTATCATTAAACTTAACTTGGACGCTACAATTAAACTAAAGGTGGAAGATCTTTTTTTTTTTTCCAAATAGTTTAGTTTAATATTTATGCATGCATTACAATATACATAGTTGCTCCCGCTAAACCAAAGATGGGATGGACCGAAGATAAGTTCTAAATTTACTAATTGAACCCCGATAAACCGAATTTCTTAGCACTATGTACCAGCAAAGTTGTCAACGATTAAAACTGATGGTTACTGAAACGAAAAAGACGTTCGCGTAAAGGTGTCCAAAAAACGGTTAATTATTCATAAGAATTAAGCGAATAATGGTTACTTGTAATTTGCTTATTTATGCAGTGAATTATTCGTAAACCGCTGTTTTTTCCACACTCAACTACGAATAGTTAACGGCCAAATTAACGTAGCGAGTTGACTTAACAACTATTCGATAACTTACGAATTAGGTGTTCAAGTAATGGTACCAATATTAAGACCTCTTTCGTCCAATAAATGCAACAATTGCTGGTAAAAAAAACAGTATAACGAAGCTATTTCAAATTGAAACTTTGCTTTACCGACTCATACATATGTATCTAAAGACGTCTCGGTTCAATATAGGGAGTAATCTGCTGTGCTGGTGCTCGAAGTAATTGTAGTTTTTTTAATTCTAGTTTTATATTACCAAGCTAATTGCGAGTTGAATGATATGGGAGGGTGGGTCAAAATTACTAGAAATCAAATAGCATAATCTTGGAATTAGTAATACAAAGAGCCGATGGTACATCTGTGCACGACAACTGTACAGAAACTTAGTCATCATTCGCTCCCATTTACGTTGTTAAAAATGATAAAGAAATCCTATGACAAAGACCACAACACTTAGCATCTGCACGTTTATCAATTGCGCAGATCCTATTTGCTATTGCAATTGTTTTGGAGAAAGCAAGCTCTACTTGTAAGAACGTTTGTTTGGTTACAATAATAAGAATAGTATGATTGCAATGGTTTAGGGAAAATAAAGTGAAAAGAAATGTCCGACATATTTCGGAAAATAGAGATCTAGGCAATACTATAGATTAGGTTTATAGTGTCCCACATCCCCTGTTGTATACACATTGTGTGTAATCAATCTACCAATGATTCCAACAGTACGCATATCAAAAAACAGTCACTTTCACTTGTCCTCATGTATATTGGGTCGCATATGTAAGGGATTTTGTTTATATTGTGTCGTCTTTCGCAGTCAAATTACAACGCTGCAAATCTGAATATAAACCTATTAATTTAAAAGACGAATATTTAATTGAAAAGACTGCTGACAAATTTTAATTTATCTTTTTCCGTCTCTTTCAGCTCCATTTCTTGGCAAAGAGGGCGCAGAAGATTCAAATAAAGATCGTAATACAAATACTGAATGAAAATGGAATGCAAGCAAATTGCCGCAAATAACGATATAAAAACCTAGTCAACGTGATGTCGATGAGAGAAAATCATTATTATTGTCTAACGCCAAACCAAGCCGTTCATCATTTCAAAAAAACGATGTATGAAATATACGTGCCCCACATTGTCATTATTGACAGACGTCGAAGTCGACCAGACGTCTGTTACTGATAATTTGATCTTGAGACCGTTTAATTTTCATATCAAAGCGGTCAAAAAACATCTCGGCGGCGTCACAAACTTTTTCGCTACTTATATAATTGGGCCCGGTGTGTAGTGCAACGCCAAGCCAACAGGGACTAGCAAATCCACAAGCATACTGCCTACTGGGACGAGCGTATGGCATTGATTATTTGAGTAATGTACAAAGTCTACTTTGTCTGTTATTACCTGCTATAGTAATAAATGCAACAACACAAGCGAGGTGTAACCATTAATTCCAGGTAACAATTGTTTTTATTAGAATCCGGTTAACGATTCGCTTTACTTTTACGAGCCACTAATACTAGTCTACTTGATTGCTAGGATTCAATTATATTTCAATGTTTCGTAAATAACTTTACATATCGGACAACATTGCGAACTAATAGACAATAAATCGTTGCTGTGAAATACAGAGCAATCCGGGTAGAGTTGTGTATAGTAATACGATTAACCAAGGAAACTGTAGACGTAAAATGTTGCTTATCAACTTTGTCTTTAGAGAGAGACAGAACTCTTCATTATAATTGTTTCAAATACTGTCATCTAACAGACCAGTGGAATATAAGAATGCTTCAATTACGCGTCTAATTCAAGCCTGGTTATTAATTATACTATTCTATGCCTTTTGGCTACTATTACTATTAGATTATCATCATCATTGTCACCTGACTATCACCCTAACATGTTAAGAATACAATAAAATTTTTTTTTTCTTACGTCTTTGCCTAATACTAATGAAGATAGATTTCAAAGTAAGCATTATTCTCTACAATTTGTATTCATATAACCATAATGATTTTATAAAACTCTTTTTGGCTTGCCATTTCGACGTCTAGTTCTCTAATTTGTTGGGAACGGTGTATACCCAAGGAAATCTGGTATTCACTCCAGATGGAAATTCGATATTGAGTCCAGTTGGGAATCGAGTGTCTGTCTTTGATCTTGTAAAGTAAGGTTGATCGTAAGATTTATCTTTTAATAATGAACGGTTAATACCATGATGGCTTGAATCAACCAAAAATGCTTGTTGTCTGATCAAACTATTTGCTATTTCACTCGTCTGAACTCTGTTTGTTGATTAATAGCAATAAATCAATCACCCTTCCGTTTGAGAATCAGAAGAATATTCGTAGAATAGCACTTTCTCCGAATGCTGCGATTTTACTAAGTGTGGATGAAGGTAGATTCTATGTGCAACAAGACTCCCTGATTTCATAACGACGATAATGCTAACGTTGAGGTCATTATCTAGATGGCCGAGTTTTGTTAGTAAACTACCCACGTCGAGTAGTGCTACATAAATTTAACTTTGGAATGGGTGTTACAGACGTCAAATTCTCTCCAGATGGAAAGTATCCTAATACGCCACGTTATGATTCGATGTGTATATGCTTGTTGCTGCTCTTTAAATGATTTTGGTTCGTTATTATTCTTAATTCTCTTTGCCGCGAATGAAGATACTTTGCGGTCACGCATGAAAAGTTTATTGAAGTATGGAAATCACCTGGATTCAATAAAGAATTCGCTCCATTTGTACTGCACAGGAAATACACAGGACATTATGATGATGTAGTTGGTTTGTCATGGAGTGGAGATTCACAGTAAGCAACGCGAATAAGGAGTAAATCTAACGTTGAATAATTCTGTTCATACTCTGTTATTAATTTGTATACAATACTGGTAGATATTTCATATCTTGTTCAAAGGATATGACAGCAAGGATTTATTCAGTAAACCCAATTGAAGGCTTTACAAAAACCGTCTTATCCGGGCATAAAGACACTGTGGTTGGCGCATTCTTTACCAAAAATCAAAAAACGGTACGTAGATTCAAGTAGCTACTAATCAGGTATCAGTTATCGCTGACTCGATGTTTGTCCACCTAGATATATACTGTAGGTCATGATGGAGTGTTATTTGTAAGAAAATATATGGTGCCCAAAGACTCGGCTGATGAACATAGCATGGACATTGATACGGAAGGGAACAATGGTGAAAATGAGAAACAGACTGCAACAAAGCGATGGGTGACTGCATCAAAGCACTTTTTTAATACAACAAGTATTCGAGTCGTCTGTGTAGAGTATCATGTCGAAGCACGGTTACTTGTCGTTGGATTCTCAACAGGTATATTTGGCATATGGGAAATGCCGGACTTTAATAACATACATACCCTGAGGTAAGACCATAAGATGCTATATTCACATATTGATATTTACATCTATCTGTTCATCTTAATGGTATTACATCACATCCTACGTTCCCATCCACACACCTAACACGTCCTCAAACATTTCGATGTTTTTCCTCTCAGCATATCGCAGACGAAAATAACTTCACTTGCAATAAACAAATCTTCGGAATGGTTGGCATTCGGCTCGTCTAAACAATCTCAACTTCTCGTCTGGGAATGGCAATCCGAATCCTACGTCCTCAAACAGCAAGGACACTACTACGACATGAATACACTCTCGTATTCGCCCGACTCACAGACAATAGCCACTGGTGCAGATGACGGTAAACTCAAACTCTGGAACACCATTTCTGGTTTCTGCTTTGTCACATTCACTGAACATTCATCAGCGATAACCCAAGTAGAATTTGCCAAAAATGGACAAGTCGTGTTCTCCTCTTCACTTGACGGCACGGTGAGGGCGTTCGATTTGATAAGATATCGTAATTTTAGAACGTTCACAACCCCTTCGCCCATACAGTTTACCTGTCTATGTGTAGATCCATCCGGAGAGGTCATATGTGCAGGGTCAATGGATACATTTGAAATATACGTTTGGTCTGTGCAAACAGGAAAGCTGTTGGACATTCTTAGCGGACATGAAGGACCTATTAGTGGACTGGCCTTTAGTCCAAATGGGACACTTCTTGCATCGTCCTCGTGGGACTATACTGCCAGAACGTGGGATATATTTGGAAGGAGCAAGAATGTAGAAGTGTTCAGACATACTTCTGACGTATTGGCAATTGCATTTAAACCGGATGGAAAACAGTTAGCATGTAGTACATTGGACGGGCAAATAGCATTCTGGGATGTGGAAAGAGGAACGCAGATTGGGACTGTTGAAGGAAGAAAGGATATAAGCGGAGGGAGAAAGGTAGGCGATAGGACCACGGCTGCCAATTCTACTTCGGGAAAAGCATTCAATAGTCTGTCATATACTGCTGATGGATCATGTATATTGGCTGGAGGAAACAGCAAATACGTTTGTGTATACGAAGTGAGGACGGCACTATTGATTAAGAAGTTTACCATATCCAAGAACAGATCGTTAGACGGGGTCATGGAATTTCTTAATAGCAAAAATATGACGGAAGCAGGGCCAAAAGAATTGATTGATGAAACGGGGGATATCAGCGATTTAGAAGATCGTATTGATAAATCGCTTCCAGGTATTCAGACAGGTGACTTGTCAGTGAGAAAGACAATGCCAGAAGTGCGCACCAAGTGTGTTCGGTTTTCGCCAGCCGGACGCTCGTGGGCAGCAGCATCAACCGAAGGATTGATAATATACTCGTTAGACGAAACGCTTTTATTCGATCCGTTCAATCTCGACATTACCATCACTCCATCCTCCATTCTCTCAACCCTTTTATCGACCGACTATCTAAAGTCACTCGTAATGGCCTTTAGGCTTAATGAATCTTATTTGATACAAAAAGTTTACGAGTCAATTCCACCGTCAGATGTTCCATTTGTAGTAAAAGAGATACCGCAGATATATTTGGACAAATTGATCAAGTTTATAGCAATAAGTATGGAAACGACTCCTCATGTTGAGTTTCATTTGCTATGGGTCAGGGCGATTGTCAAAAGTCATGGTGGCTATTTGAGAACACGGTTATCTGAATATATGATTGGATTGAGAAGCTTGAGTAGATGTGTTACGAAAGTGTTGGAAGATATTGGGAAAATGTAAGTAATTAATTTGTTTTAGATCAAGGGTCTGTCGAGTAAACGCTTTATTCTAATATAGGGATTCGAACGTGTTTTTATTTGCAGGTGTGACGAGAATACATATTTGATAGAATATCTGATTACTGCAAGCGACTTACATCGCTTAGAAACGAGATTAATGCTGTGATATAAAGCAGAATAATTTATTCCAGACATTGTCTTTAATAATAATAATGAATAATGTGTAAATCGATAGAAATCCCGTATTCCTGCTTAATAAATATTTTTGCGCGAAACGCGAGTAAAGAGTTTCACTCTTGAGGTTTGGAATAAAATAAAAATTATCATGTATCGCCAATACACCAATCTATTTTTACACGCTCCTTCAGTTGAGGCATTTTGTTAACCATAGTTTGTTTTTAGTTATCATAATCCTTAACCTGAATGTTCGTTCAACTATCTGTTCAACTCCATTCGGCTATTGTAGAACTGATAAATGCAAAGTATGCACTGCACAACTCCACTTTCTACTAGTTATATGGCCTGAAATCGCTTCATATTACCGTTACCTTCGCTGTTATCTTCTTCAGTATTTCTCACGCAATCAACGTGTAACTGTATTATTCTATTTCTAAGGTCGTCCATTTCTGTGGGATGTTCGAACATCATATTGGTGATCATATGACGGGTTGGTTGCCGTAGTATTATAGGACGGATGCCCGTGTAGTAATTTGGAGGCCGAGTGTGGCCGCCTCCCTAATCCGGATACATCGACACTATCGTTGGGATTGGTACCTTGAGCGTCTTCTCCGTCTACAAATTCATAAGCATCGAGTTATTAGACAACATACTAACTGAAATTTCTTACATTCAAAAACTAAGCAAACGTTTCTTCACTGCCCGCGCAGAGTGACATGCCATTTATATGGCGAGAGGAGAAACCGGGTATTAAGCTGTAGGCCAATTTTTGGCAGTTTGACACATAATTTTGTGAGAACAATATTACTATGTTATTTTCACTTTGACCATTAAGAAAAACAATTCACTAGTCCTGGAGATTTAAATGAGCAAAACTACATAGTAAAAGGATGGATATCACTATTTTTTTTCTTCAGTAAACAGACGAGTCGTTGAGAAGTGATGGCCATTTGAAGACAGACACTAAACTCATACTTCCCCTCCTGCTTCCTCTCCCCACACCTCTCCCTCTTTAGAGTTGGTGGGATAAGATAAACAACGCGTTTAACGCGTTAAGGATCGGCAAGCGATCTTGTGAAACTTGAAGTTACGAGACTTTACATACCACAGTCACTTCTCGACATAAGAAAGTGATCGGGGCCTTTCTTATATCGAAAATCTCTTACGACTATCTAAATTTATAACTAGAGCAAGGTGGAGAGGATTTCAGGGTTCGATGAGAAGACAGTGACTTATGAAAATGGAAGAATGTCTTCGAATCGTTGACTATTAATATTTTTATAAAGCATCTTCCGAAGATCAAAGTAAAAAGAATAATACATATGGATGTATTCGACAAGTGCGTTTTATGTTATAGTGTGAAGAACGAGTTGCTGCATGTAATGTCGTTGACTACTGACACACAAACATTATTCTAATAATAAAATTGTTAACATGCGCGTACAACAAGTAGTTTTTGGATGAAGTTAGGATCTTAACATTCATGATTTTATAATTTTCTCTCTATGATAATTACCGATTCTATCTTTAGTATACACCTTATTATTATGCATCGACCAGCATCAACTCGACCAAATTCTTAACTCCGCATTCAAATGCTATATAAAAAAGAGTTTCAACACGTTAGAAATTGGAGTATATATATTATTTATTGTTACACAGAAGCGGTCAAATCTATTAACTTCAGTACTTATACTATTTATTATTATACATGGCGAACAACAATTATCTTTTTTTTTGGCGATGCAACAATAATCGCGCTAGAGTTCTTTAACTTATCAGCATAAGTTTGGTCATTTGCGTCTATTACTATATTTTACTGACTATTTTTTTTTTTTAGCCTTTTTGACAACACCATCCTATAATAATAAAGAAAAGTAGCATGTCAGAAAGAAAATATAGACTTCTAGTTAATATTAACCGGAGTCTCCACAGCTCGCTGATTACATTGGGTATATTGCAGGCTGATTCTCCCCGGTATGGGATGTCTATGGAATACCATAAACTGACGACGTAGATTCGAGGGAAAGGCTTATTCCGAGCGTATATTTCAACTGTTGTGCCTAAATTTGTGGATGATAATGACAGATATAATAATAAGAAGAAGATAGTCATTATACATTAAAACAATAATAGGTGAAGTAAAAAAATTTACCGTGAGAATATACACCGAAGACTCGCATTTGTTTGGAGGTGCGATGGTCAAGGACATCCTTATGTGTTTACGATTTTGATTTTCAAATGAGCAAAATATTGCAATGGTTAAAGGATAAATATGTCGGTATATCGGCGCATGTTTTCAACCAATAAATGATCGAAATCTGTATATTACACAAACTTCTCATCTATCACGGGACTAAACCAAAATTAAAAATAATACCCAGCTTAATTTATCGTACGCAAGAGCAAAATATGTTGTTATTCGAATCAGAAAAGAAGCAGTCTAAGCAGAAAGTGGGTCCCCGATATACAGAATTTCAAGCTGTCGTATTAGCTGGATATGGCCACAGGTTTTCTAACCGTTGATCATTCCGTAGACAATCGTCATTCTTATCACTTCATTATTTACAAACTGGGCAATTATCGCTTCTTCTATACCTGCCATTTTGATAGACTATACCCACTTACCGAGGACAAGAATGTTCCCAAGGCTCTCCTTCCTGTCGCAAATAAACCAATGCTATTCTATGTTCTTGATTGGCTGGAAAAAGCGGGAATCTATGATGTAATGGTTGTCACCCATCCGGATGCAGAACATAAAATTGGGACTTATCTGAAGAATGCCTATGATGGAAAGATAAAGCCTAGCTTAGAGGTCAGCAAAGAGGATGATGCCGGAACTGCCGATGCTTTGCGAGTCGTTAAGGATAAGATCAAGGTTCGTCTGTTAATTGAGCATTAAATGAAACTCTGTCCTATTTGTATAGTGGCAAAGATAATTAGTAGATTCTGACGATTGATCTTTTTTTTTTTTAAATACAAAGTACGATTTCGTCGTAATCAGCTGTGACCTAGCGCTCGATCTTCCACCTCACAATCTATTAGATTATCATCGTATACATAATCCCACATGTACTGTACTTTTCTACGAGTCGGGCAAATCTGAAGGCAGTGGCGGCAGTTCTGCAGGAGCCAAAGAGGATGGTAATAATCAGTAAAGTTACGCAAGAACTTTGATAATTCTATGCAGGAAGGAAAGGTTTTTGCTAACCCAAAATGATTTATAAACTGTATAGTGAAGGAAATAGTCGGGGTAGACATGATGAGTTCGCGTCTCGTGTACATTGCACAGAGTGACCTAGATGATGAACTGTCATTGCGTATGTCTCTTTTATGGAAGTGTGTAATAACTTTCTTATCCAACCTTATCAATATTATTCTTCCTCCCGTTTCATAAAGCCTTTCTAATGGTTTGTTTGTTTTTCTTGTGCAATGCCACATAGGTTTCCGCGAATAAACATTCATACTTCTTTGAAAGATGCACACCTGTACATATTCAAGCGATGGGTGATTGATTTGGTTGCCCAACGGAAAACATTATCAAGCATACGCCAGCATCTATTGCCATTATTAGTCAAATGCCAACATCAAAGGAAGTTAATAGATCGAGAAGGGATACAAAAACGCAAGTTCTTGTCCTATGTTCTCTATGCGTGATGAATTAATTTGCATAGTTGGGGAATGATTCCTTACTTTCAACTAATCAACATGCCTTTTATTACAGTCGTAGCTGGGACAGAAGACTATTTAAAATCCGCGCTTCCTTATTCATCCACGTGGGTAGGCGATAGTAATGGCTGTCATATAGACTGCCAATTGTACATTTACAAAGGGAATTTCTGCTGCCGAAGTAATACCATCCCTAGATATTACGAATTGAATCGACATGTAAGATATTCGTTATTGATGTTTAGATAGTATTGTTGTGGATTGGAGTGTTGAATCAACATCTATTTAGATGACAAAATCGACCACGGACACTCGAGTAGCCGCAACAGCCATTGTAAACCAAAAGACACAGGTAGGTATAGTGAGGATTAGACGCCAGTTGCATATTAGATCACGTCATATCATGTCAGATGAGATGCGTTCATTTGTATTTATCAAATACGTTTATATTAAAGGTTGGATCTGACTCGCTTGTCGGTGAGGAAACAAAAATCGATGAACGTACTTCGATCAAGCGATCTACCGTAGGATCCCACTGCACTATAGGCAAAAACGTGAAAATTACTAATTCTATCATCATGGATAATGTTGTCATAGAAGACAAGTGAGTATCAAAACATGTCACCGAATTGCTTGTGATCGGTCTAAAGAACGATTGATGCGAATGTAAATTCTTTGGGCAGCGTGAAGTTGGACGTATGCATTGTGTGTAATAATGCTAGAATCATGGAGAAATCAATACTGAAAGATTGCGAAGTTGGAGCCGGATACGTTGTAGAAGCAGAGAGTGAGTATTGTTCATTTTGTTTACTATTTTTCTATTCGTTGTTAGTAGGATACGTGTTGATCAACTTTTACTTTATAGCACAAACGAAAAATGAGCAGCTAGTAGAATTTCGCGACCTATGATATAATGTGTGATAAAAAAACCGTAATGAAATACCAATGCTTTGAAAAAAAAGTCCATCTGAAGCTGATAATTGATAGATATTATTAATCCAAGACATAATAAATTTGCCTCTAATTCAGTAATATTTTTTGGCATTCGTTTTTTCCACGTTTTGCTTAAAAGCTGCCCATAGTAAGTAATAGATTTTTTTATGGGATTCAAGTCCGGACTGTTGGAACATTCTCGTGAAAGAAATTCTTGGGCCAGCGTTTGCGCGCGCGCGCGCAAGTCATTGCCTTGAAACATCAGATAATGTCCAAGCATCAGTTTTTTAAGTTTCCACGGAGGGCAGACATGGATGAAAAGGGTTTAGCGTGATAGAACGTATAATATATTAAAGCCCACATATTGTTGGAAACATTGCTAGCACTCAACTCCCATTGGTATTTTGACCACTAATGATTTCGATATGCTATTTGTAATAACAAATATAGATAATACTGGAAATCGGCCAATCATTGCCATTTTTCGATCCAAATGCAAAAACGGAAAATCTTATAAAAATGACTAATTGGGAATAATTCTATTTGCGATAAAAAAAATCAAATCAATCGATCGATCGATCCACACTCTTCTACTTACACTTTATCAAGTCCAGTTTTTCAACAAACATTAATAATGGCCGAACGAGTTATCGTGCGTGATGGTACGCATCGATTATATCAGTCTTTCATTGCCTAGCTCCCCTCTAACATATATGCTTGCCTACCAATATAGCTCTAAACGAACTCGATGATAAAAGGATAAAACAAATCAAACCGTTGATTCCGCCACAAATCTTAATGGAAGATCTCCCGTTAACACTCCAAGCAGCACAAAGTGTGATTCTTGGCCGAGCAAACGCAGAGGCTATAATTAAGGGTCAAGATGATAGGTTGCTGGTTATTGTTGGACCTTGTTCCGTACACGATGTCAAAGCTGCTATCGAATATGGTGAGAAATACTGAATGGAGGGAAGGAGAATCTGGAGTTTATGGGACTTGTCACTAAGTTTTGGATGCGATGCAAAAAAAAATTGGGGTTTTTTTTTTTTTTTTTTTTTTTTTTTTTTTTAGCTGGAAAGTTAAAAGCATATGCAGATTCTGCATCGAGTGATTTATGTATTATCATGCGAGTTTATTTCGAAAAGCCACGAACAACTGTTGGGTGGAAAGGTTTAATCAATGACCCACAACTGAACAACAGGTAAAGTGGATGAAATGGACGTTTTCATCTGTGGGACAACATTAATCACTATAAACATGACTTTTAATTAGTTTCCAAATCAACAAAGGACTTCGACTCGCACGCGGTCTACTCTTACAACTCGTACGTTGATTGAGTTTATAAGTGCCGATTTGCATCAATGTGTTTAATTAATCTATTTGTGCGCAAACAGAATGAACTCGGAATACCGTGTGGATGTGAATTCTTGGATACTATTACACCACAGTTTATAGCTGATTTGGTTTCATGGGGTAAGAACCAAACTGTGAAAATGAGATTAGTATTAGCTTTTTTATGGCAAACCGATTGAATACTCGTATTTTTTTCTTTTGGTTGATCAGGAGCAATTGGTGCAAGAACTACAGAATCACAGGTTCATCGCGAATTAGCATCCGGATTGTCAGTTCCAGTCGGGTTCAAGAATGGTAACTACCATATCCAAGACCAACAACGTGTCAACTTCATAGATGGATATATGTGCCGACCGTATTTTATTGTTGTTGTTGTTGTTGTTGTTACACTTTGAAAGAGTCCGCATACTAATTCTTTCCAACTTTTGCGTTCAACAGGTACGGACGGGAGCATCAATATTGCAATCGACGCATTAAAAGCAGCCAGCGTGGGGCATCACTTTCTTTCTGTTACAAAACAAGGCCTCAGTGCCATCGTTGCAACTAATGGTAACGACAGCTGCCACATAATACTCCGAGGTGGTAATGAAGGGCCGAATTATTCTCAAGAGCACGTTAAAGAAATAGTATCCAATTTGACAAGTGCAAAGTTATGTCCAAGAGTAATGATTGACTGTAGTCATGGAAACAGTCAGAAGATTTTCAGTCGACAAATTGATGTCGCGAAGGATATTGTACGTAATTACGAATGGTGGTGGTTGTTGTTTGTGACTGGTCTTCTGGTGAAGAAGTTGTCTACTGGTGAACAAATAATACATTATCAGTCTCTAACATATGATTGTCTCAATCTTACTTTGACTCTAGGCTGAGCAACTGAAATCTTCCGCGACGGGAGATGGCATTCTTGGAGTAATGATCGAATCACATTTAAAAGAAGGTTCTTTGCTTTTTCTTACTTACTTTTTATGCACGATAATTATTGTGATAATTTTTATTCGCTAACCAAATGACGCTATTGCAAGCCATTAATGAAATTACTTTATATTTCTGTTATCGCAAAGGCAATCAAAAACTCACATCGGCGGGGCCATCAGCTCTAGTTTACGGACAATCAATCACAGACGGATGCATTAGTTGGGAAGCAACGGTAGAGGTCTTGGACATATTACGTGCGGCCGTCAAAGCACGTCGAGCACGCAGAGAAAAGTTTGAGCAGTAGACTTGGCGTCATCCAATAATCGGAATGAGGTATTGAAGATAGACTGAATAAATAAAGTGTATGATTGGTTGCTATAGCGGGGGGAAGTGAATATTCGTTCTATTATCCGAGTGATTTCGGCGAGTTTTATTGCCCATATAATTTTACAACAGTATCCCCTGAACAAAATTTGTTTAGTCTTTTGGTCGTCGAACAAAAGCAGTAACTCTTTAATTGATTTTTGTCAATATTCTAAAAATTAGACGATACAAAAGTTAACGTTGGGGATTCGATCGATCATAGCTATCTTGTAATAGTAATATCGTTTATTCAATTAAAAGTTTAGATATACCAATTGTACATTTCGGTTGTACTCTGGTGAAATACAGTCAAGCTATTGAAAAAAAGAAGCAAAGCTTACTGTAATTTCCAGAAATAAATAATTTTATTGTATATCTAAAAGAAAGTTCGAAGAATGTTTTTTTTTATACAATACAGGCGCAAGCAAAAAAATGCACCGAAAAAATGGAAGCGGTTTAAAGAGGAGTCTATCAAAAGAGTTGATATGTCCAACTTCTACCAAAATTGAACGTAATTTACAAACAATACTCTACCAATTGAAATTTACATTTAAAAGGTTTTGTGGAAAATAAGTTAAAGAAAAATTAGTGGGAAAACTAGTCGTATAATTTTTACACATAACAACGTCACATTATTCTTCGCCGCGCAGTATTGAAGCAGCCACTTCAGCATCAAATGGATGCCGTACAAGTCTATCGTAAAGATCATCCGGTATCTTGTGAACCAGCTCCACCGTCAGATCAATGACGGGCTTTGCCTTTAAATCAGGCATTGTCCTGAGTAGTTTCATGGGACTAGATCGACAGCATACCAATACAAATTTGATTAGTCTTTACGATTCTTACTCACTCTATTGTTTATAGCACGAACAAACGTTCAAGCAGTACCTTTGAGACTGTAACAGTTCGTCCTTCATTAGAATAAGTTGTGCGATTACACAAAGAATGTTCAGATGCACTCCGTATGCAAACAAGAAATCCCACAGTTTGAGTACTTCTTCCAAAGGTGGAGTACACGCACAGAATGTCAGAACAGCTGAATTGGCGTAGTCAGATTTGAATATGGAAAAGTGTAGAGGTGGTATTATGCATTAGTGACTTTGTGACAGGTTAGCAATTAAACTGGCAAAAAAAAAAACGTAGAGCCGACCCTTACATGGCAACGCATAGATTTTGGCAGAAAGGTTTTTTGATTTGAGATGACTGAAAAGCGTAGGTTCGACAATCTCTAGACACTGATCAAGTAACTGGAAAGAAATATATAATTATTGCATGGTGAATATAAATTAGTGAATGCAAATATAATACATTGAATAAGCAACATTACGATATAGTACTACGATAATGTTTACACAAATACAATTACTGTCGTGCTGCTTACCTCAAGTCCACAATGGACTCCCTGTACCGTAGAATTTACGTAGAGCGGACAACACATTTCGATGAATGTCGCAAAGGAGAAGAACGCATCGATTTCTGACATCGTAAACAGAAAGGGGGCTACAAGTACGTTCATTCCTTGCACGTACGTAATATTATCGTTTCCAGACACTAGAATGGAAAAAAAAAAAGTGGTAGAACAATAACAAAATGAGATCATGAATTTCAAAGTACGCAGCTCGGTATAATCGAGAAGCTATTGCTACGTTATTTTTGTCACCGACAATTCTTTCGACCCAACCAATACTCACAGTGCATTTTCCATGTGAAAGCATTCAAAACTCGACTGAGCATATCGTCATTGACTCTTTCTTTGAACGTCTTATTCGTAGTACACGTCCTGAACGTATCGTTTTTGACTTTGTTATACACGGCCGACTTTCCCTTCTTTATCAATCGTATATATTCCTTAGCGGAGATATGATATACACCTAAAAAGTGTTTCCAAACTCGAGAGCGTACGGAAGTCGATCGAAGGTTGGCTTGGAGGGAATGGTCTGATTTTGGAAGATGCTATAAAAATAGAAAGAAAAGGTTAGCATGCGAACGGATGAAAAGGAAAGAAAGCGGTGAAAGAATTATATAAAGATGAATTTTCCGTAGTGAGATTATAAAGATAAAAAAAAATTTTTTTAAATTTTCTCTGGATTTACAGTATTCGTTTTCATTAGCGAATAAAAAAGTCTGGGCCAACACTATTTTACCCATTTCCGTTTCCCAACCAAAAGTTGGTATACATACCTCGTCAGGTAATCCCTCGGTCAATATCAACCCTCTCAACTTGGTAAGCGAAGTCCTAACGTCTCTCTCAGTCTTGTGAGTCTTATTAAGTATAGCAGCGAATTCATTCCTTGGCTTCGGCTGCTGTGACCTTGACCTGCGCATTGGCACCTGTGACGATTCATTGGTGCTTGCATGACTGTTTAATTTTGTCAATGACTGTGATTTATGGTGTGTGAACTGTTTCAAGGAAGGCTTGGTAGTTTCGGGTTGTGAGCGGTTTTTAGAGAACGTGCAATTTGTGTCTGGGTGTGTATTTTGGCGAAGCATTGTAAAGTCACTGTTGTTTCGTCTGCCTCTTGGATTGTGTTGGGAAGCCATGAACGGTTTCTGGCTGAGACCATGCTTATAGGACGAGTGGAATAGAGCTGGCGGTAGTAATATTATTGGCGCCATGTTACTGAATTCTTTCTTTTTTTTATTGGGTAAATTATGTAACGAGAGGAATAATGATTACAGAATGTATAATGCGTTCTTCATGGAGTTGTATCTCGTAAAGAATGCTGCGAGAGCCAGGATATATACATTAGAGTGTTACACAGATTATATATGTACAGAGCGTTTAGGAAGTTTGTTTTAGGTTAGAGTGAACAGGGGAGGGCGGTAAGAAGTTCGCTCCGATATAATATTAATTTATATTACAACTTGTTGGGGGGAGGGAGATCTTTATTGGGAATTCTGTTGATAAGCGATAAAAAGTCGTCTTATTTGGGCAACACTTGATGTCACAAACAAAATTTCAGGATTTGTCGCCCACACAATGGTAATCGCGACATCTTATATAACATTATTGGTAATATCAACACATATTATTACGATTATTGCTATTGTTATTAATAATAGTAATATTAATATTATTAGCATTATTTTATTAATATTAATAATATATTATTAACATATACCACTCTTATACTCACTCTCATGCACTCTTATATTGACTCTCATTCACCTTGGTCATTCACTTTGGTCATTCACTCTCACTCTCACGAATTCTTTTTTCCGTTCGTATGTCATTGTATTACATGAACTTTCAAAAGTCTTACGAACCGGTCTTAAGCCTTTTTTTTACTGTCAAGATTCAGTTGTTTTGGGACCGCCTGTTAGTGGTTAAAGTTTAGTTTCCATAAACAAGAAACGTCGATGTTCACGTATTATCGGAGATTATTATTAGCCTGGGTATTTATTTGCGATAAGGTGCGAACCTTATCAGCAATTTCAAGACTATCGGTTGTTTGTTAAAAGATAAGGGGCTTGCGAACAAAGTATTAGCTTTTAGAATAATGATAATGGCGACAACAGTAGTACCAGGAATACAGAAACCGGCAACAAACTTGATATTAATATTTAATTCTAATGTATTGAACATCAAGCGATTGTGTCACGTGAACATTTCAGGGGGCATAACTGGGGCATACACCCAGGCAAGCGCCACAGAACACGGACAAAGTAAAACTAACACCGGTTTTTCAACAAGTGAAATCTAACTATTCAAACAAGTGAATTTCAAATCTCTGCCCTGTATATACAAAGGATAGTAAAGATCACAATGTTATCGATTTATGCTTTAAAACAATTCAATAATTGGATTGATATATTATCTCTGTCATTGGGTTACATTTGCGAGATATAATACGCGACCACGCTTCTGATGCTAGATAGCGGTGCTTTTTGGGTATGCTTCACTCCAACTGGGAGCTTTTTGTAAGAAAGTAGTTTTGTTTTAATTTATTCCCATTGTTGCAGAAACGAAACTCCTCAACACGTGTTACTTTTTGGAGCCTTGGGAACTCCTTGGCAAGTATTACTTATTCTGGAGCATCATAATCTTACTGGTTCTTACGATTGCGATCCAGATTGATAATCGTCTACTTGTTGGACAAACACAAATCCGAAGTTTGAAGCTCCATGATAGTAATAGGGGCACTCGATGAGATGATGGAGATAGTGAAATATTGCCAAAAATACCCAAGTATTAAACATAATAGGGAGAATTCTTCTAATAAGGATTAAGCATAATTAAGAGTTGACAATAAAACTGCAGATCGAATTGCACACTTAACCCGTTATTTATAAAGCATTTTTTATTATTTTTATTGTATGTGTGCATGCTTTGTTAGTAGTAGCAACACAAGCTTGCATTCAACTCCGTGTGAACAACCTTTAATACGTTCTTGGATTGCAGATAAGCTATGCTTCTCATGGACCTACGAGCGAAAAACTTGTTGGCCGACGTATCTTTGGTGAGAAATGAAATAATTTCGCAGATTTCAATTAGTAAATCTTATACTTAAACATTTCATGGAATATAACATATTGGACTTTTCGTGCTTCTAATAGTGGTGCTTCCATCATCCGACTTATAACAGAGCCATAATATTCACTTTGACTGGTCATTACTGGAAGCGTGGGTCTTCAACTGATATGCTTACGTATATTAGTGCTAGTACTCAATATCCCCCCACCCACACCGGCGTACCGGAGAATTATAGTTTTTTAGCGATTTCTGATGATCTTTGCGTTCCAACGTGTATGGATAGGATGCATTATTTTAATAATGATTATCGTTTTAATGAAATTTTCACATGTTATTTCCATTGCGAAATGGATTATCACTATTACCCTTTTTAAAGTGCTGTGATGGTATTAGAAGCTGCGATAACTTTTCTCTTGGAAGAAGAGCTTGATTTGTTTTATATCTTGTTTTTACGTCCAATGCAGAAA